TGCTCATTAATTAGGTGACTTTGTCCTTCAATTGTTGATCACCCCGATCATTAGTTAGACGATCTAATCGAATGGAGGCACTGGGTTCTTTGAATGAATATATCCTTGGATCTCGAGATAGACCTCCATCTTCTTTTGGAGGCTAGTACATTAATTATTTTAGTTTGTTTCTATATCTACGTACAGTATTAACAACTGATGCACTTTAGTTGAGAGGTTAAGTTTGAGTAATTAAATCGCTTCCATAACGAAATTCTGCTGTTTTTAGTTTCTCCTAACTATTATAGATGGCAATTGTCATTCCTCTCACTCTCTTTTTAATGGGAGATGGATCATAATATCTTTAAGGATTACTCTAATATTTGATCATTGATGAGCTTGATTGATTATTATCACCATAACTTAAACTGAATTAAGGATCTTTAGGTTGTAATTTAAGAACAGGCAATCTAAATGATGATGCTTAAACTCTCATTCTTACTAAATAATAATATTTTAATTATTTTTAATAAGAAATTCATGTAATAAAAGAAAAGAGACTCACCCTTGGTTCAATAATCTAAAGCAATGAGTTATTTATTGAGACATGGTGCATAGAAGGAGGGTATTCCAATTAGATAAGATGGTTTTGTGTTGGTTTAAGATTTGCTCAATTGGCCAACAATGGCTAAGCTTAAAGCAAATTTATAAAGTATCAGAAATGTAGTGGATAATAATGACAAAAAAAGATTTGAACTAAAAGAAATAGATGGATAATTGTATATTAGATGTGTTTAAGGACATACTATTGAAATTAATGAGGAAGAATTATTAGAGAAAATAGTTGACCCACAATAATTTCCTGTTATTGTACATGGTACATATTTTAAAGCATGGGATTTGATTAAGGATACTGGATTAAATAGAATGGCAAGATAGCATATACATTTTGCTGTAGGATTACCAGGAGATGATGCAGTAATTAGTGGAATGAGAAATACTTGTGAAGTAATCATATAGGTGGATATGGAAAAAGCAATGAATGCAGGCATTGAATTTTATGTTTCTAAAAATGGTGTAGTATTATCAAGTGGAATTAATGGTGTTATTGCACCATAATTTTTTAAAAGAGTAACAACAAGAAAAGGATAAGATATTAATTTTTAATAATAAATATGAATAATATATATTTTTTTATTAAATAACATCGATAATGAAAGATTTACGTAACCTTTTGATTAAGGATAATGAAGATCAATTGTCAGATAAACGAGAATAACTTTATCAATAGTAAGCAATAAGTAGAAGAACTGCTGCAACACGTGAGTCAGGAAGAGCAGTTGGATCAAGATCTTATTAAAGATTTTTTAAGCTTGATTCTCCTACTGGAAACCTTGGAAATTTATTTAACAATCATAAATTCTCTTTATAATAGGATGCCTTCAATTATTAGGTAGAATAATAAGAAAAATTTGTTGTTAAACAATATTGGAGATCATTACTTCGATGGCAAGGATTTGATGATTATCTATTCTTGAGAGATCCTATCAACTTAAGACATATAAAAGGAAGAGAAATTTTAACTAAAAATGATGTAGTAGAAGAATTATAGGCATATAATATTCATGTTTAAGTTGTTTATCAAGCTGATAATGGAATGTAGGAGTACAAAGATTAACATCGTAGATAATAGATGTAATAATTACAAAAGTTATATTAACCTGGAGAAGCAAATTATTAGAAATTTAATCCAGAAAAATATAAATAATCATTTTTTGGAGGAAAGGATACTGGAAAATTATAATAAATGGTATTTTAAAATGTTAAATTAAAAGAATTAATTGATAAAATATAATAGATACTATAATTAATTAATGAGAAGATTGTGAGTGAAGAAATTAATTAAATATCACCACTTGGAGAAAGAATGATCAGATTATTATGGAAAATAGGATGTTTGAATCTCTTTTTATTAGGTTATTTTATACATAACATGATTTTAGAGATATATGGTAAGGAGAAATTGGCATATTAGAATTGGAAGAAGATCTTACGTATTTGTAATATGTAAGGTAATCATTGTCATCGTTATAAATTGATAGCTTATAAACACATTTCTAAAATATGTATTAAACTCTAATTATATGATAAAAGTTTAATCTATCTAAAAAAGATGCTTAAATTATCATGGATTATAAATGATACTAATTATGAAATCTTTACTTATGATAAAATATCTTTGTGTTATTATTACAAGTAAGATATGAACAAAGCTATCTATTATCATGAAAAATTTGCTTAAGGAGAATATGAAGAACCAGGTAAAGGAATGAGAAATGTAGGAGAGGCTGCATATTTATTAGATTCAAAAATGAAAGAAGGATTTATAGATTAAAATTCCTATTCTGAAGATGAATATGATCTTGATGTACTTTTATAAAATGGAAATTTAAATAAATGGGAACTTGAAAATAAAAGAAAAGATTTAAAAGTTATGGCTAAAAAGATGCCTACTGAATATAAAAAGGGACATAGTTTTGGAAAAATTCATCGTCCCACTAATAATATTATTGACTTCAAACATGCTATGTTAATATTACATAAATTTCAAAATAAATAATAGATTCCTTTGGGACCTATCTATTCAAAGGATATTCCTGATCAAATATAATCTACAAAGAGATGGAAGAAGAAAGATCCTCTTTAATCTTGTCAATATCTATTCAATTAAAAGAGTACTAATAGAGTTGCTTAGAACTTTCTATTGTAAGAAGAAATAAAAGAATAACCTATTAGTGATGCTATCTGCTTCAAACCATCAGAGAATGTATATTATATAAAAAAGATGATCAGAGTATTTTAATATGATCTTAAGTATTTTTTATAGAAACAATCTCTTTTTAAAAATTCCACTGATTGTTTATGAATATAATTTAATATATGAATTAACCAATATCGCTAAATTGTCAAAATCCAAAAAAAGGATACCTTATTTAGAAAGGAATAAGTAAAGTTAATGAGAATCCAAAGGAAAGACAATCATTTGCAGACTATGTGAACTCTTTGTCAGAATCATAACAACAAATGCTCATTCATAACAAGTCTCCTAGAAAAGAATCAGTACCTAAACGACATCCTACTCTCCCTAAATTAGAATTGCCTTCCCCAGATATAATGAATAAAAGATTTGTTGTAAATGTTGGAAAATGTCCAATGAATAATAATTATCAATCACCTATTTATAGACCTAGTGTGTTACAATCCAATTAACATTAATTCCACAACATATAATCTCCTAGACACAATTCATTTGAGATTAGGAAGTCTCTCATTCCTCAATAAAGATTGTTGCCTATCCATCGAACTTCGGTCAATAATATAAGTGGAAGAAGCGTAAGGGATGATGATATGAGTTTGTTCTATTATAAAATTGGTGGAGCAGAAATTGTAGATTAACTTAATGAGGAATTTCATAATTATTCAATTCAACATGAAATGATTTCAAGTAAGTATTTATAATATATATAGAGATTGATGATTTAGAAAGATATAAATAAAGATTTAAGACATTTTTGGAATATATAATGGGAAAGCCTATTTTTTATAATCTAGAACAATTGAAAGAAAAACATAAAGATTTAGGACTTAAAAATAGAGATTTCAATTAATTCAAAAACTATTTGATTGTAATAATGATTACTTAATATAATTTAGACATGCTTTTTAAAAGTTAATAAAGGACAATTAGATTTTGTATTTGAATTTAGTTCTATGATTGAATAATATCGATATTGTATTATAAATAGTAATACTCCATTTGCTATAATTTACAACCAGAGAACTGAAAAATTAAATACAAAAGATGTTCCTGATACAATTTTGTAATTAGCTTAGAGCAGTTATCAAAAGATTTTCTAAGACAATACTTTGGCACCATATTTTATAGGAATTGAAATTAAATAGTAAGCTAGAAAATTAGGAAAGATCTTATCTTAATTAATGGCTTGGGAATAAACTAATGATCAAGTATTGGTTGATATGAGATATTCTCATAAAGGAATGCATTTAACAAATGTACATTTCACACTATTTAAATAACATTTGATTGAATCTATGCGTTAATTAAATATACAAGAAAAATAAATAGAATTAGTAACAACTAGAATGGATGGTTATAGAAGTTACATCATTAATTAAGACTCTTTACTTGATTATTATGGGGAATAATCTTCTTTATTGTAAGTTTAATAGAAGAAATATGTGTAATTGTTGAAAAGGGATGTTAGAATGTAAAATTATCCAACAATTGCATTGGAAAGACATTCATAATTTATATTGAGATATCTTACACATTAACATCTACCAACTTTAACAAAAAATGATTTATGGACTATCCATTCGAAATATAATATAGCAATTGAATGGATTGATTCTTTTCGTGATAACTTTTTTCATCTTATTAAAAGTCTAAATTTAAATGCTTTAATTATTTAAGATTATGAAGATATCTGGTATAAATTGAGAAAAAATCTAACTTAATACCATTCAATTGAAAGTAGAATTGGTAAGAAGAAAGTGGATCTTGTTATAGCTAAAGTTTAATTAAAATTGTAAGACAATGAAAATTATACAGAATATTTTAAGAATGCTAATTACTAAATGAATTTACATTTGCATAGAATTATTGCTTTTATACTTAAAGATTAATAAATATATAACTCAAATGATTTAAAAGTCATTCATTAATCATTAAAAATTAGAGAAAGTACATTTAATTTATTTGTTTAATTTCTTAAAAATGCTATGCAGGAAGAAGCCATTTGTTCAAGTTTAATTGCATAAGCTGAAGAAATTTGTAATTATTATAAAAAGAGTATATGTACTTGATTGCTTTTATCTTACATCTAAATGATTATTTTTGTTTTAATTCGTAATTTAATAATTAAGTTATCTGGAATATTATATATCTATTATCATAAACAAATTATTAATGTCAAATTATTATTCATTGGCTTGCAGATTCAGCAAAACCATTACCTTCCATAAATCTTTTCAACCCAATCAGTGAAAGTCTCAGGATCTTTATATGTATTAAATTTCGGAGATTATTATGTCACAGCCTCCTCAATCTACATAGTTGACATTCTGTTGGTTCTATTGACGACAACTCTGTATCCATATTCATTTACTTTATTTTTACTTTATTAAATAAACATAGGTTCTTGACTTACTGATTCTTATGTTTTTTTACTATTTCTGCTTGAAATAAAAAGTTTTCTGTTTGAGATGATAACATTAGGACTTTTTATTTTTTTACTAGTTTAGAACTTAGAAATTGATTCTAAACAATCTATAGAATTCCTTCCATTAAAGTGGTTACTACTTTTTTGAAGGTTGATTTCCTCTTTAAATGGATATCTTTAGGAAGTTTTACGTTTAATCAAGTCATTATGTTCTTTAATTTGTTATTTGTTTAAAACTACTTTACTAATCTAAGAAGAAATCATGTTTCTATTAGATTGTATTGATTTATTGATCATCAAAAAAACTTTGAATATAAATTATTAATTAAGCTTCATAATCTAAATCTTATTTTAAATGACATCATTATAATTATATTTATTAGGTCTTAAAAAATATATTGTGTATAATTCAAAAATCAAATTCTTATTGTTATGTGGCAATAATCATGGTTGGATTAAACAATTATTAAGATCTACCAATCCAATCAAAACTATTTGTTGGTTCAAGATGTTTTATAATTTATCTAGTTGTTGATCCACTCAAAATTACAATTAAATGAAAAAAACAAAAGACTCCTATTACTGCACTTATAAAGCAAACAATAATTAATAAAAAATCTGTTAATCCATTACTTTCTTCTGGATTGATTTTATTTAAACTAATTAAAATTGAAAGACCTTACATAAGGAGACTTGCCAAAAATAATGCAAAATATCTAATATAAAATATATGATTATTACTTATAATTTCGTTTTCCTATACAATTATTAACAAATGGACAATGATGATCAAACATTAAAATACAATTATCACATTATTTACAATGAGATGAACCTGGAGGTTTTTTGATTTAACAAGTTTCACACATAGGCCAAGCACTTTCAGTTTCCCATTATATATTCATAATTTCAAAAATATTCTTTCTTGGAATGATTCCAGGATCTGTAAATTAAGTTAGAAAGAGAAAGAATAAGGTTAAGAATGCTAATAGTAAAGTACAAATAAATAATAGTTTATTAGCTTCCCAAATTTATTAACCATTTGAAATAGTAAAGAATATAGGTAGAAGTATTAAACCACCCCAAGTAAAAAAATTAGGTCCAAAATCTGTACTAGGTCCAATCATAATTCTACCACCTAGATAAAATCTATTTTTCCCTGGCCATATTTCATATAATTTGTGTTCTCTTTCATCATCGAATTTTATATGTTATTAATTTATCATCTAATATATTATAAATTTACATTTTAGTATAAGTTATTAATAATAAGAATTGAATATATATATTATTTATTAAACCTTGATATAAATATATTTACCAAATAATGTCAGATAGTGATGAAAATGAATAATAAAGAAAGATTGTACTTCCTTAAATAATTATGAATGTCTGTGATACTTAGTATTAAGTTGTTCGTTATGTTGGATAAGAAATACTTAAATGGAAATTAATTTCAGAACCAGAATCATGGGATTGGGATGTATATTGGACTGATTCTGGTGTTCATGCAGAAATGTTGAGTAAAATGAAATGTACAATTTAAATTTAAAATTCTCTTAGAACATTAAAAAGTTAATCATTTTCCAGGAATGTACATATTAGCTAGAAAAAATAATCTAGGTAAATAATTAACTAAAATGCGTCGAAGGTTTCCAAAGGAATTTAAATTCTTTCCTTTTACTTGGATGTTACCTTCAGATGCTTAAGATTTAAAAGAATATATGAAAGGAAAAGGTAGAGATGAAATTTTAATTGTGAAACCTGAAGCATCTTGTTAAGGTAGAGGTAAAAATACATATTTTAAAGTTAAGGTATTTTTTTAACTAAATCTCTTGACTTTATCAGTCCAACAGAGAGATATGTAGTTTAAAAATATTTGGGTGATCCTTTTTTAATTGATGGTTTGAAATTTGATTTTAGAATATATGTACTTGTTGCTGGATGTGATCCATTAAGAATATTCATATACACTGAAGGATTGGCAAGATTTGCAACTGAAAAATATATTACTCCACATCCATCTAATTTTGATGATCTTTGTATGCATTTGACAAATTATGCTATTAATAAAAATAATGAAAACTTTGTATTTAATGAAGATGTTTAAAGAATGGATATTGGACATAAGAGAAGTATGTCAAGTGTATTTGAAAAATTAAAATAGGAAGGTAGAGATATAGATGAATTATGGATGGATATCAAATAAATTATAATTAAAACTCTTTGTTCTGCTTAACCATTTCTTAAACATCAATATACTACTAGTCAACCAAATAATTTAATGAATAATATGTGTTTTGAAATCTTAGGATTTGATATAATTCTAGATAATTCTTTCAAGTAACTAAATTATCTTATATTTTTAGACCAATCTTATTAGAAATTAATCATAGTCCTTCATTTACTACTGATTCTCCATTAGATTAATACATCAAAGCAAATTTGATTGAAGATGCATTAGTGTTGATGAATGTAAATAGGGAAGAAAAGTATAGATTAATGTATGCTTAAATTACTTATTAAGATAGGAGAAACATCAAGAAATGCAAAAACGTATTTTAACAGGAAGAAATATTAGAATGACATAGGAGGATAGAAAGGCTATTATAGAATAATATTAAATGATTAGAGATGCTTATGAAGATGAACATCTTGGAGGATTTGAAAAGATTTATCCATGTGATGAAGAGTATGAAACAGATTATTATACTTAATTTTTGACATATGCTAGTGATATTTTTGAAGAATCAACAGGTTATTTGTAAAATATCTATATAGGTACAAAAAAAGTTTAATTGCCTCCTAATAGAAAAATTACAGGAAGTCCATAAAAATCAATAAAACATGATGCTGCTAAAATTTATGCTTAACCTTTAAGAGTAGTTGTTTAATCATAATAACTTTAATCTAGAAAAACTAAATAACATACTTTATTATATAAATCTATGATATAATAATAGATCTAATAAGAATAACGAAAAATATAGATAATTATGAAATAGAGAGAGTAAGTTCAATAAAAATAAAAATATATTTAATGAATATTTAATTCAACTTTATTTATCATTTTCTTCATCTGAAAATCCTAAATCATTCATTAATTCTGTAACACTCTTTTCAATATCATCAATTCTCTTTCCTTTTATAATTCATCATTTATAATAATTACCCATATCATCAATTCTTGAAACTATAGTACCTTACATTTCTTCAAAGCGTTCTGACATTTATTTTAATAATGTTTAAACAAAATTATTAAGTTCTTTTGTTGTTGGATCCTCACTTGACATATATTTTAAAATAATATAATAATTTATTAATAATAATGAGTGAAGAATTTATAAGTCAAGATGAAAGTCATTCATATAATTCAGAATAACCAGTATTTGACATTGATTAGATGTCAGTAAATTCAGATAATTAAAAAGCTATTGAATATTTACAAAAAGTAAGAGATGAAGTCAAATAAGCACCAAAATGCACATATTTTGAAGAAGGAGATGATTTTCAATTAAAATAAACAGATCCAAAATATTTAATAAAACCTAAAGGTGTTAAATTAAATGGAAAATGGCCAATAAATCCTTTATGGTAATAGGATGTTATAGAATAATATTATAGTTTTAAAAAGGTTTAAATTTTGCTTCTATTTTAGAATATTGAATAATTTAGATAATTAGATTAAAACTCATATTAGTTGATAAATTTTAATTTAGAGTAAGAAGAGAAAATTAAATCTTGTCTAAAAAAGAAATGCTAATTTAAAGAATTATCAAAAGACATCATTCCAACACTTTTCACATTTCATGTATTAGATTATCATATAGCATCCAAAATTATTAAATGGCTTAGTTTGACTCAAAAATGTAATTATAATTAATGTTTATGGATCTATTGTGCTCTAACTTAATTAGAGGATCCATTAAGTAGTGATACATTAGCTAATATCAATAAAGTTCTTTAAAATTGTTACTTTGTAGAAAATGGTATGACAAGTGTATTGATAACAATAATATAAATAATTTTCAAGTAAAAATATGCTGACTGATTTTTCTTCCTTCTTTGATAATTTCGAAGTAGTTCATAAAATCAAACATATATGGTCTAAGTTTCAGCTTTCATAATATGAAGTAAATTAAAATGCTAATAACCCTAGAATGATTCAATAATCTTTGAATCTGTGTGTCATAAAATAAGTAGAAAAAAGAAATAACTCAAACCTATCTCAATTTAATTAGGATAAGAATATATGTATGTTTTTAAAAATAAAAACCCTGTTGGAATGTTATAACTAACAGTAGTTATAATGAACATTTATAAAACTGATTATGGAATGGCTATTAGATTATAAAGAAATGGATAATATGTTGATATTATTACACAGGATGTTAATATTCTCAAGTAACTATTGTAATACAAGTGTCTACAAACTACATTTCATGATGAATTTAGTGTATCTAAAATGATAGGAAAAGGAAGCTTTGCTAAAGTTTATCTAGCAGCCAAAAAATCTTCAGGGATCTAATATGCAATAAAGGCATTCAATAAAGAGTTCATGCTTGAATAATTTAAAGGAATGGAAAGTTTAGAGAATGAGATAAGAGTTATGCGTAGATTAAATTAAGAAAGTCTTGTACATTTATATGAAACATATGAAACATAAAATTCAATATATTTTGTTATGGATCTTTTATAAGGAGGTGAATTATTGACTAGAGCTCAAGCTCATCCATTTTCAAGTGAATCTTTATAAAAATTGATGTACAATTTTATTAAAGCACTTGTACATATTCATAGCAAAAAATGTATTCATCGAGATTTAAAACCAGAAAATTTATTATTAAAAACTAAAGAATCTTCAACTGATATTGTTATTGCAGATTTTGGATTAGCAACTTTTCTTAATGAGGATATCATATTTAAAAGATGTGGAACTCCTGGATTTGTTGCACCTGAAATCTTAACATATAAGGAAGGTGATCCTTTTTATGATGATAAATGCGATATCTTTAGTGCTGGTGTTATATTCTATATCCTACTTACTGGCAAGTAACCTTTTTAAGGTTCTGATTATAAAACAATTTTAAGATCAAATAAGAATTGTGATATTAATTACAATTTAAAGTAAATATAGTAGGTATTATATAACATTCATAAGTTTAGTCTTCATAAAAATTATAAGACTTGTTAAGAAAAATGCTTCAGTAAAATCCAAAAGATAGACCTAATGCTGAAACCTGTTTATAACATCCTTATTTTAAAGAACTTTTTAATCAAAAAGATTTAATTGAAATTCAATAAAATTTGATTGAATATGAACTTGAAAATAAAAATAGAATATTAAAGAAAGGTAGTTTTGATAGTCAAGTTGGTTCAATGGAATTAATAACTAGATCTCCTGTTCTCAATGGTCATATTGATACAGTTGGATCATTATCTAATGGTTCACCTTTAGATTCATCAAGTCGTTTGGAAAAACCATAATAATAATTATAATAATCTAAATTTAGTTAATTCTGTTAAAATATGAAGAATGTTTAACAAGATTCTAATAGTAGTTCTCAAGCCTCTCCTTAAAATAAAAAAAATGACTCTTAGGATCTTCATAAATTTGCATTAAAAAACTCATATTAGAAAAAACAAATGAGCAAAGATGATGATTTTATTAATGAAGAATAAACACAATTAGAAGATGCCATTAAAAAATTAAATTCTTAAACACCAAAAATTGGACTATTTAAAAAGAGTTCATCCTATAAGGTACCCAAAACAACATAGGAATGATATATATCAATTAATAAATTGCCAATTCCCTGTAGAATCTAATAAATCTATCTCGATTCCATTCCCAAATCCTATATATCCTAAATCAGTAAATGATCTATCTATTTCCTTTCTTTCCACAACTCTTGGTTGAATATGATGTCTACGTCTAGTAGATAATGGTAATATAACTCTTGGTGATTCACTTCTATCAGCATATTCTTCCTCACTTTCAATTTCCTAATATTTTTATATTTTAAATTACTTTTTTAAATTCAATCAATCCTCTTTTAGCTTTATATTCTTTGAATTACTCTTCATTCATTTTAATACCTTCACTTTCACTTTTTAACCAAGAATGTTTTAAAGATTAAGATGCAGTAGCTCTTTTTTCTGGATATGGATTAAGCATTGGTTCTAAAAAAGAAGCTAAATTATTAAATTATAATAAATACCTAATTCTTTAGCTTCTTTTGGATTATATTTATACTTTTCAATTAAAACATCTGTTAATGACCAACAATTTAAAATTGGTATTCTTAAAAGATTTCCTTCTTTATTAAAATATCTCTTAGATTTTAGACCTCTTTAAGAAAATTATAATGGAAATTTGCCTGTTAATTCTTAAATTTAAGCTAAATGATCATCATTTTTTGAAAAATTTGCACCCTTTCTAGGTTCAAATAAAAAATCACCAGTTAACAATTCAAATAACATACAAGCAAAGCTCCACAAATCAGCTGTAGCATTATATCTAGTTCCAATTAAAACTTCAGGAGATCGATATTATCTAGTTTAAATTAAAGTAGAAAATTGATGATGAGTCCAACATGCATTACCTAAATCTGCTACTTTAACAGAAAAATCATTCTTTTAAATTTATTTAAATAAAGATTTCTTATCAATTTAAAATAGATTATTATTGTCTTTTTGATTCTCTTATTAATTTTAATGTTATTATATCATTTCATTATTTTCTTTATCTGAAATTTTATTGTTTTCATCAATTTATTCAAATTCTTATTATTTTTATAATTTTTATTATTTTTTCTTTTATCTTCTTTATAAATTTCTTAATTGATTTTTAGTTAATTATTATTATTATTATTATTATTATTATTATTATTATTATTATTATTATTAATCAGTTATTATTCCTTCTGTAGTTTTAATTGATTCAGTTTTAATTAATTATAAATTATCATCTAATTTGACTGGTTCTTCTTTTTTAATATCAAAAAGTTAATGATAAAATTCCAAACGTTCTTTAAAAATCTAATTACTTGTTAATTAACCATTTTCAATAATATCTTTAATTTCTTCTTAAGACAATTGAAGTAATACATTTTCAGGTTTTAAATCTGTATGAATTACTCCACATTATTCATGTAAGAATTCTAAACCTATTAATACTTCTTTTGCTATTTTTCTACATAATTTCATTGGAACTCCTTTAAATTCAAATCTTTTGATTATTTCCAATAAATTAACTCCTAAGATTTCAAAAACCATACAAAAATGACATCCATATGGTCCTCTATAAACAAAAGAATTTAATAATTGCACTACATGACTATCATCTCTATTCAATCTTTAATTAGGTTTATATTATTTTAATTTTTCCATCCATTTTTAATTAGTAACATTTTAAGCTACTTTTTATAATATTTCCACTTCATCATAAGCAGCTTCCAAATAATTTTCTGCAGATTTCTATACTTTAATTGCAACATAAGTATCAAATTTAAAATCCTTACATAACCATACAGTTGAGAAATGACCCCATCCTAATTTTTAAATTATCACATATCTATTTTAAAGTACTTCTCCAACATGTACAGGATGATAGCCACCAATTTTATAATCTTCTATTCCTTCATCTTCTGAGTCATGTTCATCATCTAATTAATGAAATAATTCCATCTTTTTAGGTTTATACATTGATGGAGTAATGTATTGAGATGTAGCCATTTGATAAACTGGTTAAAGTACTTATGACTCAATCAAATTTGAGTCTTGTAAGACTTAATAATATGACTTAGACATCACTGTAGATTAAAAGAGATCACTAGAATACATGTTTTCGTTGCTCATTTTTGAATTTAAAATAAATTAATTATTAATTATTGCTGTTATTTTTGCATTAAAATGCTAAATACAAAATTCCAGTAGACTTGTATTGTTTGAAGAAATTTAATTAATATTTAATTATTATTCTAATTTCAATCCTTACACATTTTCATTAGTTATTCATAAATCCTAACTATTTAAAGTATTTTTGTGTACATTTATGATTTAGTTTAAAATATTAAATATAATAAGAATCTTAATATAAGATATCATTAATATAGTAAATATTATCAGACTTAACATAATCATACATTTTAATGAATAAATATTAATAATTATAAGTATTATTTAATAAATACAAAAATAAGAAATTCAAAAAATTAATATATTTATACAGTCAAAACATTTATATTCATGTTCTATTTAGTGGTCCTCTTCTATAAAAGGTTTTCATTCTACTAACTCTTCTATTTACAACTCTGTATTCTCTATTTGTAAAATTTTTAAGAACATTTAAAACATTTTCTTCTATATGATAATGTTATAAATTTGCATTTTTATCAAAATTATCTAAACTTTCCTTTTTAATTTTAAGGAATTCTGAATACAATTCATTTACTACTTAAGGTATTCTTTCTAATTTTAAAAGACGACCTTAATTTACTAATTATTTAACTTTTGAAAGTCTAAATTAATCTACTACATTTTATTATTTTCTTTTAGTTAAGGAATCAATAGAAATATCATCAATTACAGTAGGTAATCCAAGTTCTGAGATATAATGAGAATTAATTTATTCTTATTAAAGTAATCCATTTTCTAATTATAAATCAAGAGCTGATTCAATTTTTTCAACCATATTTAAATAACTATTTTTTGATTTCCTTTTCTTTCTTTCATGTAAATTATGTCTTACTTAATTAATATTCTATCCTTTATCTATTGCAATCTTACCTCTACTTGGACTATAAAAAACAACAGGACAATCCATAAAATTATGACTTCTCAAACAAACTTAACATTAAATAGGACATAAATCAAATTACAAATCATCTCTTAATAAACAATATTGTTCATAATTACTAGATTATTTTTTAACTACTTCAATAAATTCTTCATGAGTAATATATGCAATTTCAGAAAACTTAGTTGCTTTGGTTGTATAATGAACAGTATTTTTTAAAAAGAATTCTCTAATTCCAAATGATCCTTATTTTTACTTTCTAATTGAGACCTTATTAATAAGAGATTCTATTTCTCCTCTTACAAGAAACATTGCTTTAGGTACAAAATCTCCTTATTAAAATATAATTTATCCTGGTATATATTTCTATGTTTTGACTACTCTACTCAACTAAGCCAAAAGAGAATCATTAAATCTATTTATTAATTAACATTATTTCAATTTTGGAATAAAAATACTAGCTTTTAATTCTTATTTTAAGTCTTCATTTAAATGATCCATTAATACATCTTAAGTTTCATCTAAAGTAAAGAAATATTCAAAATATTTTCTTATCTTCATTTGTAGAATTGGATTAATTTTATTCTTCTTCAAATATGAATTCACTGTAGCCATATTATTTCTATGTTAATCAGTCTTCTCTCTTAATTACCCAAATATTTATTAAATAGCCGATATTGTGTATCCAAATATTAATGATGTAATTAAAACAGTTAAAATAACAAACATTTATTCAAATTAATTTTATGGAACAATATCTCCATATCCTATTGTGAATGCAGTTATAGTTCCAAAATATAATGAAGCAATATATCTTACTACCCAATCCTTTTCAGCATAACCATATCTTGTCAACCAACAATTCTCTGAATTATTTTATAATTCTATTTAACCAACAAAATGCCAAGCACAACCAAGCATATGAGAAACTAGAATTAAAAAATATAAGAGTTTGCATATGTCTATTGGAGCTGCAAATTTCTCTCTAATTAATGATATCTCTTCAATTTATTCAAATATTTTCTTAACTCTTGTTATTCTCAATAATAACATAAAATTGATATAAGGAATCTAATATTAAGATATTAAAAAAGGTATAACCACTATTAAATCATAAGCAAATTCTCCTTGTACATAATGCTTAAATATTTTCTGTCTACTTTCATGAATCATACCTTTTGAATAATATGCTGTATTAAAATTAAGAATTATTTCTAGTAGGAAAATCCTTAATATTAATTTATAAATACCCAACTAGGAAGTGTGCTAAATAGAAAGTCAATGACAGTGTTATCGTCATTTAATTAAAATGATAATTACATTGGAATATAAAAGATATTGATTATGATTAGTACAAGAATGATCAAATCCATTATCAATTTAAATTTACTATCTGGTTTGATTACACTAAATTCTAATGATGGCATTTTATTAACTATCATAGAAGTTATAAAATCCAGAAATGTAAATGGTGCTTTTACTAAACCTTTCCTTTGATAATACATAAAATCAGAAGCCTTGTCACCTATAATGTTGTGTATACGATGAGTAATTAATTTAAATCTGTATTATTCAGCAGCCTATTTCAATTTGATTATAAATTTGGTAATGCGGACAAATATTTATAATGCGTTCTCCTTCCAAGGTTATGTAAAACCTAAAATTAAAGAGGGTTCAGGTGATTCTCTTGTATTCGATGGATGCAGAGGTTTTATTAAAGAGAAATGCCTTGTACGTCTACCAGTAGAGGCACCCGTTAATAAAATATGTTCAATATTCATTTATTATTAAATATGGTTTTCATATGTTTATTATTCATTTAATTAGAATTAGTATATTAAATTATATTGATTTTATTATTCACTTTGTTCTTCCCTAATTTGATTCTACTATAATATTGTTAGGTTTACTATATATTGTTTAGTGAAATTTGTAAGAACTTTACTTATGTTTTTATGATTATGTTAATTTGAAATTCAAAATACTAATTAAACTAATTCAGATATTCTTTTTGATTAAATTAATTCTTAATGGAGATTCTCTAATTACAATTCTTAATATTTAGATTGAGATTTCTCTTCTTTTTAATTAGAAATTTATACACAAACCGTTTAATTCTTGAAGTAATCTCTATTATTATTATTTAATTACAATTTTTGAATAATTTTGAGTGTTTTTAATCTATCATCTTCTAAAATTTCTTATTTATTTTAATAATCTACATATCAATATCTTTTAAAAATTGATTCATTAATTAATTCAAGTAATGTCTCACTATTACAAATATAATCAAAAAGTATATATATATAATGAAATAAAATGAAAACTTACAAAAATATAGATTATCTTATAGTACTATAGTTTCAATTTATTTGGATATAACATATCTAAAAATCAAACTATTAAAATTAATATAGTTCAATCAACTAAAAGCTTAATTCTAGGATCTGACTTAATTACTTTAATATTCATATCTACTAAAAAATTATCAATTAAAAGATTCTTATTATATTGATGAAAATAAAATTTTTAATCTACAAGTTCTTATTGAATAACAAAATAAGTAATCCAATGTTTGATAATCTTAAAAAATTAATTTATAAAATTGTAAAAAACTTAATTAATAATTTTATCGTAAATGTATACTCATAATTTTAATGGCAATTAAATAATATACTTCTAAATATATATATATATTAATGATTTATTTCTTATAAATATATTGAATTCTTAAAATTAGCTAGAATATTTGATTGCTAAATTATTAAATATATTTATTAATAAGATTATTGATATTGATGTATTTTAATAAGATTATTGATAATCAATTTAAATTAATTTAAAATATAATATAGTTATTGATAGCTATTAATAATAAATTAACAATTAATTTTTTTTTACGTAAAGTTTAATAATAACTGTAACATTAAAATTGTCAATTATAAATGATGATAATTTGATTTTATAAATCATATTATCCGTTTTTTAGTATTATTTGCTATTTAACATAGTAGTAAAGAAGAACACAACATAAATATATTAATGAAAAACATCATCATATTAGTATTAGTTGCAACAACCTTTGCTACTAATCTTTCTGCTTTTGAGAAAATTGAATAAAGTAGATTGGGAAAGACTTTATTGAATACAATCTCCCTTCATATGTAAACAGGTGAGCCTCTTGAAAGAGTGTTTTAAACACTTTATGATTTGGAAGAAAGATACTAAAATGATTAAAGAGAAGACGATGCTGAAAATAAAGTCTTTTAATCATAAGTAGATGGTGATCTTGCTGTTTTGAACTAAGAACTTGCTAATCTTGAATAGAAGGGAACAGAATTATAAGCTAGATTAGATGAATTATAGCCATAATATGACACAAAAGTTGGATAAAGAGTTGCCAAATTAGCTGAATTAACTCTTGTTCAAAAGGTACTAAATGAAGCTACAGAGAAAAGAACATCAGAAAATAATGACTTTGAAGCCTAAAGAGAGGAATTCACTTTTGTTTCTGGTGTTCTTGCTGAAGCCAGAAGATTATTTACAGATAATTTATAAGCTCCAACTTTCTTATAAAAAGGATCATCAGAATCTGTTCATGCTACTCCAGCAATATTTGCTTAAGTAGCCTCTCATTTAAATAGTGCTGCACATAAGGCTAGTTAAATGAAACATATTAAGACTTATGGAAAAGCTATTAAACTTTTGGCTTAATTATCTATTAAGGCTTAATAATTTGCCAATTAAGAATTGATAAGCAGAATTGTCTAATTGATTGATGATCTTTAAAATTAACTTTAATAGGCTTTTGATTTAGCTAGAAAATAAGAAGATGCTAAGAGATAATAATTTGAAGCCTATAGTACTTTATTATAAAGAGATATCAACAAATTAAATAGTGCTATTGCTAATTTAGATGCTGAAATCTAATCATTAGCTGATTAATTAACTGCTACTCATTCTTCATAGGATGATAATAATGATAGATATGCTGCTAAACTTTAATAAAGAGATGATAGAAGAGCTGAAGGATAATAAGCAGCTTATGAATATTAATAAAGAAGATCAGCTAGAGATGCAGATAGATAAACTGTATCTGATTTGATTGGTCATTTGAACAAAAATTTGAGAGATTTGAAAGAATATATAGCTTAAAGAGTTGCCGCTGGAGATACTGATTTAGGATAATGATTTATTAAATACATATCTACAAAATTAACATATTTTGTATTTTATATTCAATATATATTATTTATAATCAATTAAAATAGATTATTAAAAAATCTAAATTAAATATCTTTATTATAGATTAATTGATTTGTGAATGTAATTTTTTATAATGTTATTTTTATATGTGGAACAATAAAATATAAATATATAAGAAATCGTTACAATCATAAAAGAAATAATTATAATAATCTTTTTGGTTAGCTTATTTTAATTATATATCTCATCTTTTAACATATTTTAAGGATCTTGTGATAGTCTATTATAATTAGACAAGTTCATTAACATATCCTTTTGATAATTATTTTATCTCATCTGGTGTAGCCTAATCTAATTATCTTGATAATTCGAGTAAATCTCTAAGAGGAACAGATTAATCTAATTTTCTTGTTAACATTGGTTATGGTTTTTAAGTTGTTGATGATTTAGTTTAAGTATTTGATGATTGATTAGCTACAGGAGTGCTATTGAATTACCAACTTCCTAGATTGCTTAAAGATTAATTTTTTTTTCTGAAAGCTGATAGTAAATCATCATTTTATGTGTTCAATCGACGACTATTGAAATAGAATGTAAAATTAACCTTTCTGTCAATCCGAATATTTTACTAGGAGATGCCAAATTAGGATTGTGCTCAGCCTTACTTTAATTAAGGATAACATGATGAAATCTATTGTCTGTTTTATTATCAACCTATTCAGCCCATTCAGTAGGATATCTAATAAGAAATAAATGTACCTTCTAAGTTCTTTTTTTTCTAATGTACTAACATAAGATGATTAAGGTCTGGCTGTAATGGGCTAAGAAACTGATTCAGTCAAATAAGAAGTTCTTTTATAAACTTAGGATTTTTGTGAACTTGATAACATTAAAATAAATTTTTATTTATTTGCTTTTATTTCATATTGATATCTAATTCACATATAACAATCAAAATTATTATAAATATGATTAAATTCAATTTATTGTATAGATATTCTCAAATTTAGAATAATATTATCTTTAAAAATTTACCAAAGTAATATATAACTATAATTCATTTTTCTGAAAAATCTATAGGTTCTTCCATAATTACATTATGCATTTTAATTGCTGCAGGATCATTACTTTTTTGTACACATTAATCAATTTTTGTTAATAATCCATATAATACATCTCTTTAATATTAAAGATCATCTAAAGCATATATCAATTTCCAATTGTAATCCATTTTATTTTTGATATCAATTTCTAATTCTTTAATAGCTTCTTCAGCTTATGAAGCTTTTGTTGTTTCAATTTTTAAGAAAGTTCTTCCATCTATATCTGTCTATTTGAATTTTAAAAATTCAGTATTTGGAATTAAATGTGCACTCATTTATGTATAACGACCATGATGCTATTTTTCAAATGACTCTAATCTTCTTGAATATCCTCTGTAATTTTTAACAAATGGATTAACTTTAGTTGCATAATTATACATCCATTATAGAAATGCCATATTATCTTAGAATTTGCATTTACTTAATTTATCAATTGGAACAACTTTATCAATTTTTAATTTTGAAAAAGCATCATCAAGAACCTTAATTAAATATTATTATATACTTTAAGATTCTTTGTATATTCATCTGGAAATCTTGCCATAAAATTTAATTTTGATAGATAAATAGAACCAGGATGTAATGCATCTATTATTTAACAATAACCAATTCCATCTGATAATAACTAAATATAATATTTTAATATAAACCTCAACTTTTGGATAATCACATTCTGTTAATTCATTTATCCATTATAAGAAATCTTATCTACCTTAATTTTGAGATTTCATATAATAAAATATTGTTAATTATTATTTTTTATAAATATTCTCATTTTATTATTCACTAATCCTCATTTATTTTTATTATAGTCTCTTTTTTTGAAAAAGCTTAATTATATATAAAGACTGATGACATTAGAATTAGTGTAGGAATTAAAAATTTAGGCATTTTAAAAATTCTTATTTATTGACCCTTAGGATCCTTGTATGTATCTTTCTTCTGAAAGAAATGGTAAATGGAATATTTAGGTATTGATACTAAATTTCTTGTTGTTTGATGAAATTTAGACTTCATCTTAATTCACTATTAAATATTAAAATTAATAATATATAAAACTTATTTATGGAGTCATTATTTTTCATTTTTTAGAACATACCATTAACCTTAATACAAATTAAGTTATTATAAAAGTTAAAACTTCTTATTATACAAAAATCTGGATAAGTATCATCCTTCTAGACTGCTGATTTGCAATTTATCAGTAAAATTTTGACTTGAATTAATCAATTTTAAAAAATAAAAAAAGATTCCCTTAATTATGCATTTGTAAACTTTCTTAGAAGACCCTATTAAATTATCCTCGTATCAGTAAATACAACAATAAGGTACTATATGCTTAACTATTCAATCAGTTAATGAATAAAAGGAACAGAAAGTTAAATCTGATATTTAGAGCTTAGAGCACATCTGGGTTTAATGGTTAAGCTAACAATAAATATCTCAAATCTAGACTGAAGACATTTAGAAGAAAAATGAGTCCATTGATGTAGAATGCACTCAAGAGACAAATGTATTTTTTTTTTATTATAAGATAGGCAGTTGAAAAGAGTGCTTAACTCAAAAACTTCTTTGAAATACTTAAATCAAGAATAATAAATGAGAAATTGTATTCTACTATGACACAAATATAAATGACCTAATTTTTTGAAGAAGCCACAACCTAAATTTAAAACAAAATCAAACTCTATGAAGACATCTAGAAATTAAAATTACTCTAAAATTATCCAAGTATTATATAATTTTGATATTTCTTTTAGCTAACACTAAGAGGACTTATTCAAAATCTGCTAACATGATACTCAAAAAATGGTTGATTGAAAATTATAACAATCCTTATCCTAAACCTCATTAAGTAGAGTAATTAGTCTAATAAACAAATTTAACTAACAAATAGGTATCAATATTCTCATTTTCTTATAGGTCTTAAATTGGTTTATAAATGCTAGAAACAGTCTTAAAAATAAATCAAATTAAGAAAAAAAATTTAAACATATAGTTGAATGTAAATTTAAAGAACTTGCAATAATGAAAAAAAAAAAAATAGAACAAAGTATTTGATTATTTAGATTAAATCACTGAATATAAATTTGTTATTTATTATCATTATTTATATAAATTTAATTTTATATTATTAATTCATATTATATTGGTATTATTATTGTAATAAATTTTAGAATAATAATTCATCATATATATATACATTTGAATTCAAAATATAATTCATTTAAAAACTAACATATATATATATTTTTAAATATAAATGAAATTAATCATATTCTAGTTTCTTATTTATGTATTTAATTTGAATACAATAAATCTATCAAATACATTGTTGTTATTTTATCCTAAAAATATTTAACATATTTATATAGTTATTATATATATTAAAATACATCAATATAACAGATTATATTTTAAAATAAATTATAAATATTATACTTAAACAGATAATAAACTACTTTAAAAAGAAGTAAAAAAATTAAAAATTAAATTCAAGTTGTAAACATAAATTATTAGTCATCATTTATATAATGTTATTTTTATATGGCTAACTCCATTTTTTAATTCTCTTTTTAAAGAATGTCTTTATTATTAAGATGGTTATAATTCTTATTTTATTTTACTTTAAACTTAAGATTATCTAGAAGGAGTCTTATTAAATTTTGTATTTTAAAATGGCAAATAACCTTTTTTTGGTGTTTCGATATTTTCATTAATTTAAGAAAACTATTTTCTATGTATAGTAGGCATATAATTTTCTTTATTTTCAGATGATTCCTATTTTTAAGGAGTATGTCCTGTCTTAAATAGTATTGGACTTTTTGAACGAATTTTTAAAGGAGATATAGATGATTCAGGTACATGTGATTGTCTTTATTTATTTTATTATAGTCTTTCATTAATTTATTCTCTTAATGTCTTAGTAGATTATTTTGTTTATGAATTCAAATTTTTTTCATTTTAACTTGTTTAAGGTGATTCTGAAATGAAAAAACTTAATTTATTTTCCTCTATAACATATGATTCACTAACTACAAAATATATAAAAAGAAATTACTTAATGGATTTTAAATAAAGGGCTATTAATAATAAATTGGGGGATTCAAATTTACAATAGGTTGTATAGTTTAATTTTCGATATTTGTCATAAATTTGATATTAGTTAAGAGATTAGTTGGGAAAGTGGGGATTGGTGATAATGAAAACTCTAGACATCTATTAATATATTCTAGCATAAAAATTAAAATAATTATTTATTAAATAAAATGAAATCTATGCTTCATATTATGCAGAAAAGAGGTTCAGTTGTATTGATGGAACCGTATGAAATTGATAATAATATTTTAGCATAAATGATGGAATGGATAAAGTATAAGATAAACATTAGGTTGTTCAAAATTATGTAGAATAAGTAAATCCTAAAACTGCAATTGCAATAGAAAAAGAAGTATTAAAAATAAATTAGATTAAATTAGGAAGAAAGATTAAATTAAAGATATTTTCATTTAATGAATCAATTAGAGAGATTAAAATTTTAAATAGTAAAGTTAGAAGAGAAAAAGAAATCATAAGAAGAGTAATTAAAATGATTAATAAGATTAGTCTTGAGAATCATCCATCAGTAAAAGAAGTGGTTGCAGAATTACATAAGATTTCTAAGTATGAAAAGGCTTTGAGTGAGAACCATAGTAAAATGGTTGATGAGATTAAATAAAATAAAATGACTATAAATTAATTGAAATAGACTGTATATTAAAAAAGAATAGAAATAAGAGATATAGTAAGAGATTCATTCAGAATATAAGAGGAAATGATAAAAATAAAATAAGAAAAAAGAACAGTTTCTAGTATTTATAATTATTAATAAGTTGACAGAAATAGTGTTGATATGTTTTTAACAATACCAGAAACTTCAATACCAAAACCACAGATTTTACCATCTATTCCATTAAAATAGAAATCTAAAAGTACTTTACTTAACATAATGAAAAATGTGTAATCAAATAATTAATAAGAAGTATATATGAATAATATATTCTTTGAATAGAAAATAAATGATATAGTATACATTTATCGTCAAGTATAAGAAATAAGATCTAAAACATAATAATCTACTCGTTTTATTTAGAAAGTGACAAATAGATATTGTTAAATTAGAAGTTTATTATCTGAATGTGCTAGTATATCTATATAAAGTTTTAAAAATAAATAAAAGATTACTAATAAAAATGGTTATGCTAATTCAATTTATTTTGATGTAAGTACTCTAAATAACAGTAAAAATGAAAGTAGTATTATTAAAGAAAGGAAAATATAAAACATTTTATATGATACTTTATAATAAATAATGATTGATCTAATTGATTCATAATAAAAGACAGATTTAAATGGATCTTCTATTGCAGATTCGATGTATATTAATTCTTTATATTTTAGAATTCGTAATTCAGTAAGTTAAGAGTAATTCATGCAATTTACATCAGTTTAAATTTTAGGATTGCTTGCTTTATAACCTAGATTATTGACTGAACTTTTAGGAATTTTTGATTTAAAATAAAAATAGGTTGGACTTTTATGCAATAAAACAAGACAATTATAAAAATAATTAGATATTGAATAATGATTCCTCTTAATTTTATTATTTAAAAAATAATATATAATCATTTAATAAGTGATAATGTTTATAGAACTGATGGAATATGCATTAAATAAGTTTATCTATTTATTAATTCTTTTAAAATTCTATTTTCATTTTCATTCTTTTTATTTATTTATAATAATAACTATTTATCATTAGTTATATTTTCTTTTTTAACTAAAATATCTTATTTTCTAGAAGATTAACATTTCATCTATAATAATGAATTCTTACTATTTAAAAATTTATTTTACTTTTTATTCCAATTCTTAAATCTTCATTAACAATGTTGTATTTTCATTAAGTAATCTATCAAATTATGTACTACCACCTATTTATGATTATTCTGTGCTTTTTCTGATAAATGAAAGTGAAGATGAAACAATTGCTTTTTTATTTTATAAATAAGGTGATCTGAATATAAATAATGAATACGTTTCTAACGGAGACTTTTTTATAGATCTTTCTATACTAAACTATCTATCTGATTAAATTGCTTATTATTATTATTTAATGAGTATATTAAGTAAAGAGTCACTTTTTTTATTATTATCAGTTGAATCTCTTATTTGTTTGCTAATGTTTCTAATTATTTTTATGAGGTCTTACAATTAAAGTTATGTTATATTACTTTATTTATTCTTTCCAGGTGTTAAACTACTATTAAGTTTATGATAATAACTTTGATTCATTATATTTAATAACAGAAATATTTTATTAATAATTAAACCTTATTTCTAATTGATAGGGATGACAAAATGATTTATTCAATTTGATAAAAATAAAGGAAAATAGAATTATTTACACATTCTAATAATTTAATCATTATATATGGACTAATAATAATAATTTTCATTAGGATTACTTGGAATTCTTGATTTTCGTTTGATATTGAGGTTATCAAAATATTTGATGGCATGTGATATATTATCTTTAGGTTTAACTAATTCATTTTTTAAAGAATAACTCTTAAATTTTAAGAAAAGAGTAGTACATTTAGAGAAAATGGCTACTGTAAAGAATAATGGGATTCAATTATATTTAGAAGTAGATATTTCAGATATATATGATAAAATTGAAGTAATTATGGCTGTTGTAGAAACTAAGGATCAAGGATGGGCAAATGTATGTAATTTATTTTCTAATAAATTTAGATTTAAAATTCATTTTCTTGGGTAACTTTAACACTATTCAATGAACCATAAGATTATCAATCATATGGAATTAAATCATATGAGAAAATAATATATTCAAATTATTGTGAAAGCAAATTTGCTTAAAAGAAATTAACAATTACATAAACTATGGCAATGGATTAAACTAAAAAAAAGTAATATGAAACCATACTTGGATTGAGTAGGAAAGGTAAATTCAAAAAGATAGGAATAGTTCAAAAGTGCTTATATTAAGATTGGGAATGTTATTTAAAAAGTGGATAGATCATTATATTATATAGAGATTGATAATTTATTGCATTTAGGATTGATTTTCATAAATATACTATCATACAATTATATAATTCATTTATAAAAATATCAATTATAATATCAATTAACCACTTTATAAATCATATTTATATAAATGAAGAAGAAAATGTAGAAGATGCACAGACATAAATTATTATATGAGGATGTATTGAAATAAGTGGAAAAAGAAGATGTATAATAATTATAAGTATTTTAGGTTGCATTTTTTAGTAAATGTACGAAATTTAGAGATTAAGCACCTCATCCAATCACTTTAGATAGAGCTTTATAATTCTTATGGTTAAAAGAGTAGGTAAATTATGCTTAATTAAAAGGGTTTTAGAAGATTGATAGAAAGATAGCATTGTAATTTGGATAGAGAAGAGTATGTAAAATAGACTCTACTATGAAACATGATGGTCCATCAAGTGCTCGTATTATTAAGACATCAAAGATTGATTAAGGGATGATTAATGGTTGGCATAATGGTGCTGGTGATTCTAAATTTGATTTGGGTCCATAGTATAATATAAAAAAAATGGAAAAAAATGAAGAAGAAATTGAATATGAAGAATTAATAAAGTAAGAACAATAAAGTCCAAGTGAATATAAGATTAAACTTAATCATTAAGATTTATATAATAATGATATAAGTGAGAAATATGCATTTAGTAATTTAGACAACAAATAATTGTTATCAAAATTAAATGAATTAAAATAAATTAATAAACAAAAAAATGAATAACCATAAGAATATGTGGAATTAGAAGGATAAAAATTTTATCATGTATTAAATGATATATAAGATTATTTGGATAAAAAAATTGATAATAAAACATTAATATAAGAAATGAGAGCATTTTAGACATTTTATCCAATTAAAAGAAAATTATAAGTCAAATAATTGAATCCTGGAGATCCTATATGTTAAGTAACAGAATCATAAACAGATACTAATTAAAAAGTTACTACTTCAAAATTATTTGATAGAAAGAGAACTTTTACAAATATGAAATGTGAATTATTTAATACAAATAATTATGTATTCCATGTTAGAGAAGTTCCTAATATTAATTAATAATTGAGAAGAAATCATTTCTCATAATTGATAGAAGAATTAAGAGAAAATGGAATGAAAACGCCTAGAGAAATTCATGAAGTATCACCAGAAAATTCTATTAAAGCATCATAAATAGAATCTAGTGAAAATGATGTTAAATAAATTAGAAAATTTTATTTAAAATTTCCTAAATAAAAAGGAGAATCAAGTTAAACTACTTCTCGTACAAAAAGTTAAAGATTTGGAACATTATAATCTTAAATATCTCATTAATATTATTAATAACCTTTAAAGGCATCTATGAGTAATTTACATGGAAGTAGTACAGAAATAAGATTGGAAAGTCCTGGAAAATGTAAAAATAGATTAGATTCTAGAATTGATAAGTATGTAAAATAATATCTAAAGAATTAAAATGTTATTTCATAAAATTAAAATGTTGATATGACAATATTAAGATAAAAATATAAAGTAATATGTTAATTTAATTATTTAAGTCTTTAAAAACTGAAAGAGAGAAAGAGATAACAAGAATGTATAAAAGTTAATAAATTGAAGGAATTAATAATAAAACTGTGCATTTATAATGAATTGATATTACTCTACTTTTTATAAAATATATTCATGAAATTTTTAGTGGTTCTTATAGCATTAACTGTAGCATTTGAATATGATGAAAGTTTGGCACGTTAATTGACAGCATTCTCTTTTGGTGCTTATTGTGAAATCAATGATATCAATAATTGGAATACAGGAACTATAAGTGAACAATATCCACATTTAACAAAAGTCTAAGTGTTTGAAAACGTTGATATGGTATTTTTTAGATATTATTTTAGAAAACAAGAGGATATATAGCATATAATACTTAAACTTAAGCCATTACTGTAGTATTTAGAGGATCAGATAATATTAAGAATTTTATTGCAGATATAGATACAAAAAAAACAAATTTCAACACAGCTTGTAAATGTCAAGTACATGAAGGCTTTTTGGCAGCATATTCATCACTTAAAATACATTTAAATGGTTTAATTGGTGAATATAGAGTCAAATATCCATATGCTAAATATCATGTGACAGGTCATTCATTAGGAGGTGCCATGGCTACTTTATTTGCTAGTGAATTGTCTATGACTGGAATTAAAGTAACTTTGGTAACTGTAGGAGCTCCAAGAGTAGGTGATTCTGATTTTTATGATTGGTTTTCTAAATTGTAAGTTACTCATACAAGATTAACAAATAAAAAGGATATTGCTCCTCATCTACCTCCTTTTAGATTTGGTTTTGAACATGTAAATACAGAAGTTTGGTATTACGATGGAGTAGATTATATTATTTGTAAAGAAGTAAAAGGAGAAGATCAAACTTGTTCAGCTTCAGCCACACGTACAAATTTGAATGATCATCATTCATATTTGGGTTGGTCAGCAAGTTCTTGTAATTCTGAGCCTGTGATGCAAATTTCCAATTGATTTTATAATTACATCATTTATCATTATTCAATATCTATATAATATTCAAGTCAAATTTCATTATTTGATTTTATGTAATAAATAATTTATAATAAAATATCTTTCTCGAATTCTATATATTTGATATATAAGTATTTTGATTTGAAATTATTTTGCAATAATAAAAATAATAAACTTTAATGAGATCATCAACTTTGATTTTGGTTGTTTTGGCAGCAACAGTCAGTGCAACATTCATCTATAATGAAGATTTGGCTAAAGAGGAAGCTGCTCTCTCATTTGCTGCTTATTGTCCTAATTCAGCTATCAATAATTGGAAATTAGGCTATGTTAGTGCTAATTATCCAAATATTTAAAATCCTAAAGTTTTTGAAGATATCATTTAAGTAAGAAATTAAACATTATTTTTAGGGAACAAAAGGATATATCGCTTTCAACCCTACCTACAATGCCATCACAGTTGTTTTCAGAGGTTCAAGCAACATCTAAAACTGGTTGGACAACATCTAATTCGATAAGGTTGATTATAATGATGCATGCAAATGCTAAGTTCACAAAGGATTCCTTGAGGCCTTCAATTCACTTAAGCCATAAGTTGACGCTCTCTTCACATAATATAGAAGCATGTACCCAAATGCCGTCATTCATGTAACCGGTCATTCTTTGGGAGCTGCTATGGCTACTCTTTATGCTACTTAATTAGCAATTGCTGGAAATTCACTTCAATTGTCTACTTTTGGATTACCAAGAGTTGGTGATACAGCCTATTATAATTATTTCTCTTCATTTACTTAAGTGACTCATTTCAGAGTTGTTCATGATAAGGATGCTGTACCACATGTAATATAATTCATTTAAATATAGGTTCCACCATAAAGCTTTGGATTTAATCATGTTGATAGAGAAATCTGGTATCACAGAGCTTCATACACTGTATGCTAATTGGATGAAGATCCTAATTGTTCAGATTCAGTTCTTATTCCATCAGTTGCTGATCACAGTTATTATATGGGATGGAGCTCATCAGTTGATTGTTGATGATTTAAATTAGAATACAATTAATAAGAATATCATTCTATATAAACATATTATTTTTTTTGAACTAGAATTTAATATATATATTTTAAATTATTTTTTCATGGATTTGAATGAAGAGAATATAATATAAATATTAGGGGAGTTTATGGCTTCAGATGGACTTTAATATTATACTTAGATCTAAGAAATATTCTCATGTTTATCAGATGAAGATTGTGATCATCTATTTTTTGATTTCATTTTAGGATTTCTAAAGAATGAACCACCTTATAAATCATTATAATTAATACATGCTTTTTTAACAGCAACTTCCTCACCTTAAATTTATATTTGTGAATTAATTGAACAATAATATTATGAAATTGTAGCAATTCACTTGTAAATTTATAAATTTAATGATAATTAAATCAAATAAATAGTATATGATAAACTTAAAGAGTAATCTACTGATTATAAACTAATATTTATGCTTCAAAGATTATATTTTCTTCTTGATCCAAATAAACAAGATAGTGCAGAATAAATATTTGCTAATAATTTAAAAATTATTCCTTAGATCTTTTCAACCATTTAAGAAGATACTTTAGTTCAATATCTAAATGTTTAATCACTTATGGTTCCTTTTTGCAAGGAGATTTAGCAATAAAAGTTAATTAAATTGTTAATTCTAATAAAATAATAGAATCATAATATAGGTATATAATTGCAATGGGCAATATATGAAGTACATCAATAGATGGGATATAATATTGATCCACCAGAATTAGAAAATATTGAAAATACCAAAACCAGAATTTCATATAAATTGTACTATGTGAAATAGAAATTCATGTAAAACATAAAACAAATATCTAATTTAATAAAATGTGTTGAAGATGAACAAAAAGATAATTTTAAACTCTATACTTAGTGGCAATTGTAGTTATGAATTATATTAATTAAATTACACTAATTTATATAAATATAATTATTTAGTAATTCAAGTAGTTTATCATTTATTATTGATGATAATAATCTATTGTAAATAGGATTTATTAAAATACTTACTAAAATTTAAGAATAATTACACAATTTCTATGTTAATTAAAAAGAATTCAATTCAAATAAATTACATATTTTTTAAAAAGAAACAAAATACTTAATTGTATTCTAATCATTAAAACAAATTGTATTATAATTTAAAGTAGCCTATACAAGTATTATTACAATAAATTTAAATAGATGAGAGAAAAATCATAAAATTTTAGAGTTCTTATCAAAAAGATATATAAGCAAATAATAATTATAAGATGATAGATAGAATTTATCTTAAGAGAACTTAAATGTGCATTCCTTATCTTTTAAGAGTTATTATAAAATTTAAAATAGAGTATCACTCCTTAATATATCAAACTAAAATCAAGGAAGTGAAGACAGAGTTAAAAAGTTTGATTTTTTGTGATGAATTTGTTAAAATCTATACATTCCAGATTTTAAAATTGATGCTATTAATCATAATAAATTCAAATATCATTTTTTAATTGGTTCTATAGATCTCTTCATTAGACTAAATAATTTTTACAGAAACCTAAGAAATAAGAAATTAAATAAATTTTTATAAACCATTAAGTTTTCATAATGAACAAAAAAATATTAGTGATTACAGATATTTCTCGAACTCTTCTTTTAGCAGAACGATTGGGGAAATAGTTGTATTTGGATAAGAGAAGAGAATTAGATAATATAAAACCAAATGATAAATATGAAAATTATAGTATAATTTGGAGACCAGGAAGAGAATTCTTTCTTGATTCACTTATGATTAAATATAGAGATAGATTTGATGTTGCAGTATGGTCAAGTTTAGATAGAGACAAGACAGCTGCATTTGCTAAATCCTTTTTTGGAAAACATTTTAGAAATTTACTTTTTGTTAGCACTTGCAATAGAGAATAATATGAAGGTACTTAAAAAGAGTATAGTACTGAGCCAATTAGAATTGATAGAGATTTATCTTTAATACATTAGAAATTTCCTGATTATGATCTTCCTAATATAGTGATGGTGAATGTATTACCCAATCTTTTGGAATAACATTCTTGTATTATATTATAAATTATGAAGTTAATGATATCATTATACCAAAATTTGATCCTCAATATGTTGATGTATAAACAGATGGGTCTCTAGATTTATTAGTGAAATACTTGAATGGACTTTCAATGTTAATAAATAAACAAAAAATTTAAGATATTAGAACAGCAATAAGAGCTAAGCCAATAGAGAATATGGACAAGAGAATGGATAATCTACGTAATAAAATGCACGAGTATTTATGATATATGTATATAACCTTATTAAATGGGTCTTACATCATTAATAATTAATTAAATGATAATTTTTGCATTAATCACACTGGTGTTGGCCCAAAAAGAGACATTAGTGATAAAGTATCCCTAAGAGTTAGCTAAGAAACCTGAATTGGATTAGATTAAATTTAATATTGCTAATTTTGGTTTTGTACCATATGGATAAAGAATTGCAGGTGTGCTTGAAGTAGCATAACCTTTTACTTTTTGCTCTCCAGATATGAATACTACTAGTAATTTTAACAGTGACTATTAAAATGTAAAGATACTTCTTGTACAAAGAGGTGAATGCCCTTTTTACACCAAGGTAATATAAATTTAAGATAATTAGACTATCAATGCATAATCATTTGGTTATTAAATGTTAGTGATTGTAGACAATTTTGATGAAGAAATATCAGGATTGAATTTAGTAAGTTTGAATGAAACAAAAGAAATTGATATACCAGCAATATTGATTTCCAAAAAGTAGGGTGATATAATAAAATAATATATGGATGCAAATTAAAATGACAAAGTGTATTTAGTAATAAAATTCCCAGAAATGATGAAAACAGAAAAAGTTAAATATCATTATTGGTTTAGTGCAATGGATAAATAGAGCTATTAGTTCTTAGAATAGTTTTATCCATTCCATATGGAAATGAAAGAACAATTAATTTTTACTCCACATTATTCAATAGATAGATGTGGCAAATGCAAAAAAGACAATTATACAAGTCAACATTAACAATGCTTGTCTGGAGGTAGATATTGTGCAAGTGATCCTGATGGTGATGGTCCATTGACTGGATAAGATTCTGTAAGAGAAATTGTTAGATAATTATGTATTTTCAAAAAAGACAATGTTAAATGGTGGAAATATGTAGTAAAGTACAGCAATAAATGTTTAACTTAAATGTAAGCTTCATAATGTTCAAATGATATTATGACCCAAGTAGGTCTAGTTCCTGAAGATATTTAGGAATGTTATGTTAAAAGTTTTAAATCTAAGAATGATGAACTAGAAGACAATGAATTACTTAATGAGTAATACTAGACTAACCTCAATTATTCTGCAATGTCATGGCCTATTTTATATATCAATGATCTAAAATACAAAGGATCTTTGACTGTCTCTACTTATACATTTAATTATGAAACTGGAGCTTAACAATTATTCGATACATCTCATTTTGGACCTTTGTAAACAATATGTAGAAGTTTTATTGAGGAATAACTTCCAAATGTTTGTAAATAAAGAATGATTGGTTATATAGACGATGGAGTTTGGGTAATAAATTAACTAATTTTAGGTTGAACATTCTATAAGTTCTAACACTTGGGTTATCTGGGTAGTGGTACTCACTACAATGGTACTCCTTATGATTTGTACTACTTTCCTATATAAGAGAATGTTTAGAAAAGAAGCTAATGAACAGATTAATTAATAAGTAAATATCCATCTGGCTCAATATTATGCATTGAATGAATAAGAGAAAAGTATGAGAAAGTGATTTCTTATATTATCAATACAATTCAACCATTAATTCATTTACCAAATCTTCAAAGATACAATCTGTTATCTCAACCAATGTTTCTGTTTTATCATGATATCTCCATTCATATTCATTCTCTTCTAACTATACATTTATTATATTTCATACTTCATTCTTTATGCACAATTAAAGTCTTTCGTTTCTTAATTACTATAAATAATCAGAATTCATCAAACTTTACAATACTTCCTCATAATTTAAACTTGATTAAATATTATCATCATCATCATTTATTAATCCACATAATGTTGATGCATACTATATCACTTTTTCCTTAGCCTTCTCTAATAAAAGACTCACATTATCCTCATTGTATATAGTAACTATTAGATTTCTATTGAATTCCCAAGGATATGGTTGACCATCACAATAATAAAATGGTCTATATAAATTTAGAATCTCATTAAAAGTATCAAAAATAGCTTTATTATGAATTTATTCATACGGATTACTACTTTGCTTAATCTATGATATTATCATACCTATATTTCTTAGAATACACAATCCTATATTGGATATTCATATTTTTTATCTTCAACAATATTATATCCATGAATCTTTCTTATTTTATCATATGGCTATAAACCATAAGGATAATTCATTCTCTAAATAAATTAAGTTAAATCATCATCTAATTATAATAAATATAAATTTTACTTAAAATGCTAACACACAATAATTCTACAAATAAATTTACAGTTCCAACATTTGTCTAGATTTCTAGATTATATGGAGTTGCTTGAAATTCAAAATCTATATCTTTTCTTTTGAAATCTTATTATTAATTTTATATTGGAAAATGTAAATATAAATCTTAAGACTCCAAATAACTTGAATCACATGACATTTATTCTAAATTTATTTTATAATTTACATAACTATTAAATTACAATTGAATTGTTTGATTCTAATTCTTAAATGAGTTTCAAATCTTAAATAGTTTTTTATTGAATTTTATTTGTTACATTTTACATTTTTTGTAATAATTCTTAACATTTATGTAATTTATCTGTTGACTATGTTTTCCATTATTCTAAAACTTATCCATTTTTATTAAAAGATCTTGGAGAGATTTTTTGTTATTCTAATAAAGTAGAAAATGCATCCATTTACATTTTAACTCTTACATTTATAGTTGATTCTCTTTAATGACAAATTTCATTAATAATATTTAATGGTAAACTTTCATGAAATGCTTTTTATTGATGTTTCAATTAAATATCTATTTTTTCATGTAAACTTGTTTATATTGCTTCATCAATTTTTTATTATTTTATATTCTTTAAAAAAGATTATAATTCTATGATTTATTTCTCATTCATCTATTGTAATTCATCAATAATCTAATTCATTAACATTTTATGTGGATCTTCACTCACTGAAAAAGTATTTAATCTAATAGAACTTACCTTACTTATTTATGGTTAATAATATTGATTTTAAGTTTTCTATTTTTTGCTTTTCTTATTAACTTTATTAGGTGAACTAATAGTAGTTTTATATTTGATTTTCTTTTTACTTTAACTTCTAACTTGTCTTTATTATGGACTTGATAATTTCTTTATCTTTTATGGAGGTGATTTAGATGGAGTTCTACTTTTTGGAATTTTACTCTTAATATAATGTTTTACTATATCTTTAAGAGGTTTTTAAGGTGAAGGAAATGTTTTTTTTTAAGTTAGTACAGAACTTGTTTTTAATTTCATAGATTATGGACTAAAAATTGATTTAGAAATACCTTTTTGAAGTTTTCATCTTTGTTTTAAAAGAAGGTTTGAGATACATAGTCTTGCCATCAACACTACTATTAGGATTTAGTTTTTTGATTTTGTCCAATTTGTCTATTGGAGTGGTTTCAGTCAAAAGGCAAGATGATCTTAAAGATTTGATTTCACTAGCTCTTATACTTTATTTCAACTATTTAAGTTTAGCCTAAAGTTATTGAATAGGAAGTATTTTCTAACGTCTCTATTTATTCATAAATATATATATTATTATATAATCAGAACATAAATGCTTGTACAACCTAAAAGAAAGATAATTGGGAATAAATTACAGAATTATCTTAGACACCATAATTTCCAAACATGTTATGGCCTTTCATTTCTCTGCCATTTACAAACAATTTCATCTTCTATGGATTCTCCTAAGATTGTAATTCTTTTATTAATAATTCAACCTTGTCTCCTGTGTTATAAGATATCTCCTTATCAGTGTTCCATTTTGTACATCTCAATTTAAACTACAAATTATAAATCACAAATTACCTTAACAACTTTACGGTCAAAATTTTAGTAAAGATTTTAATCATAAGATTATTTCTATGGAAAAGAAATAGGATTATGAATTACAAAAACTGGTAAATCATATTTCTATCCTAAATATTTCTATTTTTATTATAATACCATGATTATCAAAAACAATTTACATACTATTTTTGATTAGCTTTAAGTCAGCAGCTTACAAAAGTGTTTTTGCAGTTCCTAATTTACAATAATACATACCTTCATCAGCTTCCAATGCAGCTTTTATAGTAATCCAATTTTCCTTCTATCCCTCTATTCTAGATTCTACTATCAAACAATTATTTATACCCCAGAATTCAACTCTTTTTTATTGCCATTCTTCTTTTGAAAGACGAGATTCATATTAATTTGTCTTCTTTATTCCTGTACCTACAAATTAATCTGGTATCAAAGTAAAGTAACTATTGTATTTCTGATTCACATTAAGTGGATGAGTAATTTCTATTATTTATGAATATTGCTATAAATTCAATAAGATTTTACTTAGTAAGCCCTTTGTAATCTAGGATTAGAAGGGAGAGAAACTTCATTTTCTTAATTTTTAGTTGCGCAACTACCCATTTTTATTTATTAATTAATATAATCACTTTTATGAAGAATTGCTGCAAAAACTAGAGTTTAAATCATCCTTAATTTACTCTTGAAGATTAGCATTCTCTTCCATCAATGACCTATTAGTCATAAGTAATCTTTCTATTTATTCTTCACTTACTATAAAATAATAGAAGTTAATTAATTACATTTTAGCTTTGTTTACAATTATTAAATTACTTGATCATTTATATTACTCTTATCCTTTTCTTCAATTTATCTTTTTATTATATTGTTCAACTCTAAAATTTCATTCTAATATTGCTTATTTAATCCTTCTATTTAACTAACCTAATCCATCAATCTTTATATCTATCTTTCACTTTCCTATTTTATTTAAACCAATTCATTTATTTTATTGTTCTCCCATTACTTTTAATCATTTCTAATCATTTGAATCTCCTACCTCTACTCTCCATTCTTTTATTAAAGTTATTTAATCTAATTCTAACTATCTTGAAGTTATAGAGTCAATTAATCTAATTATTATTAATATGATTATTCTTATTTTTAAATTATCTATGAATTAACCTACTATTGTTGTTATAAAGATTATTCTAACTACTGATTTATTTATTTCATACTATTAGTTTAAGATTCTATTCTAATGAAATTCTATTACATTTGATTAAACTAATTCTCTAATGAAGTGTACTATTGACATTAATCAACCAAAGCAGATTTTTATTCTCGAACTTGTTCTAACAAACTTGATTTCTCATTTATAAGTAAAGAATGTCTCTTTTCTAAACTTTAATTTAAATTCTTTATTTCATCCATCTCTCTTTACTTAGCATTATTTTATTCAACAATTTTCTCATTAATCTATTTTAATTCAAATAACATTTCTTATAAACTTTTATTTGAATCTAATGTTTCATTCCTTTAATGTTCTATATCTTAATATTTAACCTCAAGTTCTTCTTTATATTTCTTTATTTTCTCTAATTCACTTTAATGATTACTATTTTCAACCATAAGCTCTTCAATTTTACTTAATAAGTTTACATTCTCTGCACTAAGTTTCTCTAATAATGTTTCTAAATTTTGGATTTTTATTTATAATTCTTTATTATGCTCCTCAAATTGCTTAGATACCAATTTTTCTTAATTCAAATTATCCTACATAACTTGTTATTAAATCTTATAATCTTTCTCTTAATCCTCTAATTTTTAATGCTATTCAATAATTGACTATTAAAACTTGTTCTCAAAAGATATTTTATTAGATATACTTTCCATTTTTTATTATTCTATTTCGTTTTTGTATTTATCCTCTTTCTCAGAAATTTCTTAGATTAAAACTTTAATCTTATTTTTTAAATCATTAATTTATTAATCCTATTAATTAATATTCTAATTAAATTCTGCAATCTTTTGCTCTTAAGCTAAATTTGTATTGTTTAGTTACATTATTTTATTTTCCAAACTTACAACTTACTATTATTTATAATTAACTTAATCAAATTGACCATTTAATTATTATTTTAATTCTTAATTTAATTATTCACTTTGATCATATTTCTTGTTTATTTCCTGATTTTTAATCTAATATTATGATATTATGTTTTCTTGATCCATTTTCTATTTTTCCAACTCATCTATTTTTTTTTATAATAAACTACAATTCTCTTAATTCTAAGTTTAATTGATTAAAATTTCATTCTACATCTCTTGTAACTGCTTTTATTATTTAACATAATTCTCCTTAAGATTTCCTATAATCGTTTCTTATTCAAGAATAAATATATCCTTATCTTGTAATTATTTCTATTTCTTATTTAATTCAATCTAATGCTATTCTTTTTAAAAAGATAAAATTTGAAATGATTCTGAACTTGATTAAACTACTTGTTCTAATTATTAAATAAGACTTTCCTACTCATTTATTTTATCCTATAATTCATCTTAAGTGATTCTATTATTATCAAGTTCTTTCATTTTGTCTTTAAGTTGTTATTCAATAATAGGTACTTCTTTAACTTCAATTTATAAGCTTTAAATAACTTACAAGTATTCCTTAATTTGATCTTATAATATTATTTTATTTTTAGCTTCCTCTTCTTGTTTTAACTTAAGATTATTTATAACATCTTACTCAATTCTAATTTAATTATTTAATTTCATAATTTCATTTTTTTAATCTTATTCTAAGATCAATAATTAATTTAATTTTTATTCATTTTCAAAATTATCCTTTTTTAATTAATTATTTAACACTTATTCTTAAATTAACTTTAACTCAATTTATTATTTAATACTAGTTAACATATTAATTTATTCCTCTTAATCCATTACTAGCTATTTTTACTTTTAATTCTCTAGTGTAAATTCTTCTAGAATATACTACGCTTTTGCCTACTCTTCTTCAAGCAATTTTTACTAATCATTTAGTTTGTTCTATTCATTTTATATTTATTTTGTAAGGTTTAGAACTTGATTTTCAGAATCTTTTAATCTATCGTTTAAAGCAACAATATTGTTATTAGAATTCAAAATTTTTATTTAATAAGCTTACTCATTTTCTTAAATCTGATTGTTATATTGGTTAATTTATATTTCTTAAATATTAATTTATTATTATAGGTCTAATATATTATTCTTAGAATTCTATAATTATTCATTTAAATCATTAATTATTGTTTATAGATTTTATACTTTATTATTAAGATCAATTTAAATATTTTTATGTTAATCAATTTAAATTTATATATATTTATCTTTTTCTTGAATCTAGTCATTATATTAAAGTATTTAACCTTTTTAAATATTAATTTATTATTATAGATTTTAGATATTTTTCTTAGAATTCTATAATTATTCATTTTAATCATCAATTATTTTTTAAAGATTTTATACTTTATTCTTTAATTCTTAATTTAAATCATTTGATTAATTTATTTTATTTGATATAAATTATTCTTTTTCTTATATCTAACTCATTTACTCATTAATTTATATTTTTTAATTATTTATTTATTATTATAATTCTAGAATATAATTCTTAGATTTCTATAATTAATCGTTCTAATCATTAATTATTGTTTAAAGATGTTATACTTGATTATTAAGACCAATTTCAATATTTTTATGTTATTCAATTTAAATTTATAGCTATTTCTCTTTTTCTTGAATCTAGTTATTATATTATAGTATTTAATCTTCTTAAATATTAATTTATTATTATAGATTTTAGATATTATTCTTAGAATTCTATAATTATATATTTAAATCATCTATAATTTTTTAAAGATTTTATACTTTATTCTTTAATTCTTAATTTAAATCATTTGATTAAATTATTTTATTTGATATAAGTTATTCTTTTTCTTATATCTAACTCATTTATTCATTAATTTGTATTTCTTAATTATTTATTTATTATTATAATTCTAGAATATAACTCTAAGATTTCTATAATTATTCATTCTAATCATTAATTATTGTTTATAGATTTTATACTTTATTATTAAGATCGATTTCAATATTTTTATGTTAATCAATTTAAATTTATACCTATTTCTCTTTTTCTTGAATCTAGTTATTATATTATAGTATTTAATCTTCTTAAATATTAATTTATTATTATAGATCTTATATATTATTCTTAGAATTCTATAATTATATATTTAAATCATCTATAATTTTTTAAAGATTTTATACTTTATTCTTTAATTCTTAATTTAAATCATTTGATTAAATTATTTTATTTGATATAAGTTATTCTTTTTCTTATATCTAACTCATTTATTCATTAATTTGTATTTCTTAATTATTTATTTATTATTATAATTCTAGAATATAACTCTAAGATTTCTATAATTATTCATTCTAATCATTAATTATTGTTTATAGATTTTATACTTTATTATTAAGATCGATTTCAATATTTTTATGTTAATCAATTTAAATTTATACCTATTTCTCTTTTTCTTGAATCTAGTTATTATATTATAGTATTTAATCTTCTTAAATATTAATTTATTATTATAGGTCTAATATATTATTCTTAGAATTCTATAATTATTCATTTAAATCATTAATTATTGTTTAAAGATTTTATACTTTATTATTAAGATCAATTTCAATATTTTTATGTTAATCAATTTAAATTTATATATATTTATCTTTTTCTTGAATCTAGTTATTATATTATAGTATTTAATCCTCTTAAGTATTAATTTAGTATTATAGATCTTATATATTCTTTTTAGAATTTGATAGTAGTTAATTTTAGTCATCAAGTAGTTATTAAAGAAAATCAATTTTATTATTATAATCCATATTGGTTGTTTTTGATTCATTAATTGATGTTAATATTAGCTTTTCTTTTTCTTCTATCTAATTTTTATAAGTATTAATTGAATATTCTGAAGCTTTTAATGATTATTATAATTCTAGAATATAACTCTAAGATTTCTATAATTATTCATTTAGATCATTAATTATTGTTTAAAGATGTTATACTTGATTATTAAGATCGATTTCAATATTTTTATGTTAATCAATTTAAATTTATACCTATTTCTCTTTTTCTTGAATCTAGTAATTATATTATAGTATTTAATCTTCTTAAATATTAATTTATTATTATAGGTCTAATATATTATTCTTAGAATTCTATAATTATTCATTTAAATCATTAATTATTGTTTAAAGATTTTATACTTTATTATTAAGATCAATTTCAATATTTTTATGTTAATCAATTTAAATTTATATATATTTATCTTTTTCTTGAATCTAGTTATTATATTATAGTATTTAATCCTCTTAAGTATTAATTTAGTATTATAGATCTTATATATTCTTTTTAGAATTTGATAGTAGTTAATTTTAGTCATCAAGTAGTTATTAAAGAAAATCAATTTTATTATTATAATCCATATTGGTTGTTTTTGATTCATTAATTGATGTTAATATTAGCTTTTCTTTTTCTTCTATCTAATTTTTATAAGTATTAATTGAATATTCTGAAGCTTTTAATGATTATTATAATTCTAGAATATAACTCTAAGATTTCTATAATTATTCATTTAGATCATTAATTATTGTTTAAAGATGTTATACTTGATTATTAAGATCGATTTCAATATTTTTATGTTAATCAATTTAAATTTATACCTATTTCTCTTTTTCTTGAATCTAGTAATTATATTATAGTATTTAATCTTCTTAAATATTAATTTATTATTATAGATCTTATATATTTTTCTTAGAATTCTATAATTATTCATTTAGATCATTAATTATTGTTTAAAGATGTTATACTTGATTATTAAGATCAATTTCAATATTTTTATGTTAATCAATTTAAATTTATACCTATTTCTCTTTTTCTTGAATCTAGTCATTATATTAAAGTATTTAATCTTCTTAAATATTAATTTAGTATTATAGATCTTATATATTCTTTTTAGAATTCTATAATTATATGTTTTGATCAGCAATCAATTTTTTAAAATTGTCAATTGTTTTACCAAATTCAAACTCTTTATTCTTCAATTCATTATTAATCTCACATAACTTCTATTCTATTATTTTTTTTTATTCTAAACTCTAATTTTGTAAATCTCTATAATTTCCCTTCTATTAACTTATCTAAATCGAATATTCATTATTTTATTTTTCTAACTCTATACTTAATAAATTTTGTTATTATTTTATACTTTTATTTTCCTCCTCCAAGTTGATTATAAGATTCTATAATTTTTAGTTTTCATCTAATATTTGTTAGTTAAGCATATTGATTCTTATCAATTCGTTTTCTTATTAGGTTAATATTATTTAATTTTGACTACACTCATTCAGCTATAATGTTAATTTCTCAATATTTTGAATTAATTATAAATTTTCTCTATTAAATTTGTGATTGTCTTCCAATAATTTATTGTTTTAAAGTTATTATTCTTTTAATTCATTGCTCAAAACATTACAATTTTTTTCTAATTTATTAATTTCATCTTAATTTACATCTTTAAATTATTTTATTTGCAATTCATACTCTTTAGAAATATTTTTTAGTTCTTTATTTTTTTCCTCCATTTCTTGTGTGAATTTCAATTATATCTGTTATAATTCTTCTTCAAATTTTTTGATTTAATTTTAGTCAATATTTTAAACTTTTTTGGGGCTAGGACTACCATAAATAGGTAATTTTCCATAAGCTTTTTCAAAATCGTTATTGGATTGTTATAGCTTTCGATTTTCTCTTGTTAAATATTCTATCTGCTTTTATAAAGGATCCATCTGTTACATCAAGGCAAGATTTTATTTAATTTCTAACTAGTTTTATTATTGTAATGAATTAATTATTTCCTTTTGGCTTACTCCTTATTTTACTAGTTGATTTATTTTATCTTATAAATTTTAATTTGAATCTTCTAATTATTTTAATCTGCGTTATGCATCTAAATTTTATTGAGTTAAATTTGTATTATTCGAAATAAGTTCTAATATCTAATTTTATTGTTATTAAAATTTCAATTAATCAAATTTTACTCCAGTCTAATCATTTTTTAAATGATTCAACTCTTACTTTAATTCATTTATTCTATTTTATTTTGAATTAACTTAATTTTTTTAATCTTAAACTTATTATTCTAATTGAGTAATTTTTTTTAGAAACTAATCCATTTCTAATTGTTAATTTGCAATTATTTTTTCAAGTTCAGAAATTTTTGTTTAATGAAATTCATCTAATTTTTATTATTATTGATTTATTATATTCTATTAATCTAGATTCTACTGTTCTATATTTTATTAATCAAGTAATAATTTCTTTTATTATTCTTCTAATTGATGGATGAGAGTGTTTTTGTAATTTAATTCTTCCTAAAAAGATTTAATTTATATTAATAGTTTTTTATTTTAATCTTCTTATAGACTTTCATTTTGTATTAATGTCTATTGACTTAGTTCATATAATTATTAAATATTGTGATAATTCTTTTAAATTTTTTCTAATAATTTTTAATATTTATTAATAGTTCTTAAAAGATTGTTTTCTAGATTATCCATCTTAATATATAATTATTTCTTGATATTTTCTATTATTTCTTCGATAAATAATAACACTTGATAATTGATATTTGGAAATACTTGATCAAAGATTGAAACTTATGTTGTTTCAGAAGTGCGTAAATCGAAATTTGAAATTAATTCTTCTTTTATAGAATTCAAATTACTTTATAAATCATTTTTGGTAACAAGTTCAAGTTAAAGTTGATTTTATAAATTTGAAAGTTCTACATCTAAAGAGGCAATTTTTAGATTTAATGATTCATTCTCTATCTCTAATTATTTGATTTTATTATCACTTTGAATCAATTGTATTTCAATGTCTTATTTTGTTTTTGTTAATTCTTCAATCTTTATATCATATTATTTTGCTTGAGTTAATATTTAATTTTAGAAATCCAATGTTTTATTATCTTAAGCTTCTATTAATATTTTTATTTAGTTTTCAAGAGATAAATTTTTTTGTTCAATTTCATTAAATTACACTTTCAACCTTGTAATTTACAATGTTAAATTTTCAATATTTAAATCCTTTTATTTTAAAGTTTCTTCCTGGCTTTCTAGCTATTATTCTAGTTTAGGTTGAATTTATGATAATCTTTAAAGTTTTAAATTTGATTCAGAATTTTCACTAAAAAGCTTTTAAATTTCTATAGTTTTAGAATGAAGTTCTTATTTATATTGCTTAATTTATTTTTCATAAATTTCTAATCTGAGTTAGATTAATCTATTTTTTTCTGTTAATTTAGTACATAGTACATCAAAATTTAATTATTATGATTTTTCTGTAATTAATTCTTCGCTTGAATCACTAGAGTCAGAACTTTCATTAGAAGTGATAGCTTCTAATTGTTTATCATGTGATATGAGAAAGCTTTAATATTTATTTATATCTTCCTCTAATTTGTTTTGTAATTATATTTAAACTTATAATTAATGATTTAACATCTCAACAACATGTTCTTATTTTTATTTTTCTTATTTTAAATCTTCTATTTAATGTTATGATTCTAAGAGTTAAATTTCAAATTCTGAATTTTTCTAACAAATAATTGTAGATTCTTTTTATTGTATTAATTCATTTTATTTGATTTCATTTATAAGTTTGTTATTATGTAAAATCAAATCTTCATTTTTTTATTCTAATAATCGAATATCGTGATTTAGTTTTGATATAGTACTTTCTTATATTTGTTTAACTTAAACATGTTTTATATCAGATTCTTTCAATTCAGATGTAAGTTTTGATATCTATTATTATAGATTATTAATTTAATTAAGTAATTCTTGATTGTTCTTTTCGATATTTTAAGTTTATTATTGATATAAGAACTCTAGATCTCTATATTATTATTTTTATTATGTTATTTAATCATATTGAGCTTGAATATTTTATTAAAAGGATTAAATATCATTTTCTTTTTATTATAAAATCATTTCTAGTTAATTGTTTTGATTCTATAAATTTGAACATTGTTATTAAATCATTAATTATTGAGATTCAGCAGCTGATTATAATTATATAGAAGAGGATATGATTTGCATTTCTTAAGATTTCTACAATAATTATTATTTTAGAAGACAATTTTAATTTAGGACATCTGATAATTGAATTTAAAGGTTTTGATTTTCTTGCTCTAGAGTGTGGATTTATGATTTAAAAGTTTGCGATTAATTGTCATTTTTTTCTATTAATTCTAGATTGTTTTTATTTAATAAATTGTTATCATTTATGATTAGAGTGATCTCTTCATCTTTGTCTTGAATTAAATTTTAAATTTCATCAATCTTATTTTAATAATCAACCTTTTACAGATCCAAATTAGCCTTTAGTTGTTTATTTTATTCATTTAATAAAGAAGAGTTGTCAATGGCTTTGGAAAGTTCTATTTTTTTGAAATCCAAGGATTTACGTAGATCTATAATTTCTCTTTGATAATCTTAATTTTTTAGATGAATTAATTTGATTTGTTGCTTGAGTTCTATAATTTAATCTGTATATTATTTATTCTTTTTGTCGTATTTGGATTAAAGCAATTGATTTTATAAGACAGATTAAGTGAATTTGGATTGGAGTTCCATATTTTATTGTTGATAGTTCTAGCATTCATTTCTAAGATCTTGAATTATAGATTATTGTTGAGATAATGCTAAATCATTTTCTGATTTGAGAGTTTCAATTTGTTGATTAGAAGCTTCGATTTCTTCATTAAGGAGTTGAATGTCATCTTGTAATTTTTGGATTAGGAGAGTTTGGTTTTTGTTGACCTGTTTGAGAAGCGCCTCATTATTTGAATTTAACATTAATATTTTAAAAAATGATTTAGTAGTAAGGTTAACAAGAGGAAGTACAAAAGTAAGAGACTAAGGATGAAGGAAGAAATGCTTCTTCATATGGGGAGGAAGGTAGAAAAGGGCAATCTAAGAGACGTGATTCTTCAAATGAATCATACTCAAATTAATCATCATCTTTTGAGAATAAGATTGGAAAACGTTACTATCCACATAGTGAATTCAAGATTCACTTTTATGTACGTCATGTACATATGAATGGTATGAGTACAAATGAATTCTTGAGTTTTATAAAGAGAAAAGGTAATGTATGGTAATATTTAGTGAATTTGGCTGGATCATGTGAGGTTGTTCAGATGTTCAATACATAGGGATCTTATTGTGATGTAGCAATAGGGATGAGCAATGATGATAATGCCAAATTAGTATATATTGGCAAGAAGCATTTCAATTTTGGAAGGAATGGTATGATTTAGTCAAATTATGTATAGGAAGATAAAAGGAAGTAGTTGAATTGAGTGATGCCTTTAAAAATTATTTAGAAAATAAGAATATGTTAGAAAAAGAACATTTAGAACGATCCTTGAGAAGAAATGTAATAATAGAAAGTTGATTGTAGTAATAATCTAAGGGTAGAAGTGATAGTAGTGAATCATCAAGAAGATATAAAAGTAGAAGTGTTAGTAAGAAAAAGAAGAGTAAAAAAGTTGATAGCAAATAATCTTAAGGTTAAGGATCAAGAAGGAGATCTCCATCTTCTTCTAGTGAACCAAGAAGAATAAAATAAATTAAGAAAAATAGATAATCATCTAGGAGTTCTTCTTTAGATTTAAATAAAGATTAATTGAATGTTTAACCTATCAAACCTTAATAGGTGTACACTGATAAAAATAGTGTTTATATCTTTTCTATACCACAAGAAGTTAATGAGAATGATGTTATCTAAGAGATTGTTACTCATCATAAATAAAATGCACCTATTCATCAAATATGGAGTTATTATTTATTTAAATTATTAAGACACTTCTGATAAGATGCAATATTTAGAGTTATAATTTTAAGATGAAAATACTGCTCAATATTTAGTCAATTTGAGACCCTGTTTACAAGTTAAGGGTATACCTCTTTTAGTTGTGGCTAAAAAATAACGACCTGTTTAAGATTTATTGAGGAATTATGAGGTGCAAGTTGAATTAGATAAAGATGTACCTCCTTTTAATGTCTATTTGGAGTTTAAAAAGTATGGAGATCTAATTGGAATATATGTTTTTTAGTAAAATAGGAAGTATGGCAGCAATTTAATTTTCAAGTTATTTACTCTTGTATTCATCGTCCTCATAATTGCAGGAGGCATTACGTCCTCCAGTCCATTTATAATTGGTCATTAACGATTAAAATGTTAATGCTAACGCCAAGATTATTGATAAACCTATTGATATCCAACGTCCATTTATCAAAGAAACTTTAGCTTATTAGCTTAGCACTTAATAGGACAACAGTATTTCAATTCTTATATTATAGAAGATAGAAAAAGAAAAGATAAAAAATGAGAAGCCATTTAATTTAATATTCAAACAATATAATTATTTTCATGTGGCGAAAGAATTATCATTATCTCCTCTCTCCCCTAATTCAATTTATTTAATATTAATTTTTAATTTATGGGATATGCTAATTAAACCTAAAAACTTACTCAATTATAGAGATGGAGAATCATTTTCTATAAAATATATAAGAATTATTGACTACTGTCATCACATAATTACTCCTTCTTTTTCCGAATACCCACTTCATTTGTTTTATTGCCATCTTATGTAATTATTCTTTTAGGTAAATTACTATTTATGCATAACCTTATAATTCATTATTGCTGTTACTATTAATTAGAAATTACTTTTGAACTATTAAATATTCATAATATATATAAATAAACTAAATTCATTCATATTTTTTCATTAATCTTTCTAAATCTTTAACTGCAACATTTCCACCTGAAAGTACAACTAAGCTATTTTTCATTTAACTCTTCTTGCATCCTGCATAAGCAATAGCACAATTAAACTCAGCTATCTACTCAGCTTTTGCTAATTCACATTAAGCCCTCTCTACTTCCTCTACAGTAACATAAAGAATTTCATCAATAAATCCTTCAATAATTTATTAACATAAAGTTGCATCTTTTCTAGTTGTTCCATTTAACATTACTCCAATAATACGCGTTTAATTTTATGCAATATACTTTAAATAGAAAGCTATTCCTGCTATTAAAGCTCCACTTTTCAAAGTAACAAAAATATAATCTATATTTGTATTTGTTAAAACTTGCCATTAATCTATTTCAAATCCTATTGTTGCATAGCCTCCAAAAACATCAAAATCATTCTATAAATCTAAATAATCATATCCCATCTCTTAACTATATGTTATAGCTTCTTTTTCAATTTCATTTTTATTTAACTCAGAATGTATTATTGTAACATTAGGTAAATCATTTGTTTGATGAATTTCTTTTACATATTTCGAGAATATTATTAACTTGCCAATTAATTCATATGGTTTTATTTTTGATTAGAATTATTCATCTTTAATTTCTACAGACAATCCTGGATCAGTAGGTGTATCATCATAAACAAATTCACTTGCAATTCCTTCTTATTTTTGATTCAACTTTCTATCTGACTTTAATAATTTCAAACTCTCTATACAAGCTGTGGCTGCATTTCCAGAAGAAGAAATTACTAAATTTAGTTCATCATCTCCTCTGTACCGTTTTTTCTGTTACAATCTATAAAGCATATTATAGATGGCTCTCATTTTAACCGAACCTGATGGTAATGTGCTTTCGATTTTACAATAAATTCCATTTATTGGTTTGATAGGAGTAAGCTAAAATTGGAAATAGCGATTACCGTGATTGGAGATTCTGGAGAATAGAGACATTATTATGCTAATTTTATTGCTTAAACTAATTCAGGAATTAAATATTTGATTTCACAAGTAATCATTGTGCTCTTTTCATATTATCTTGTTTGGACACAACCCATTTTTATAATGAAATATAATGAATTTTATAAAAAATTAAATATCAATTATTCATAAATGTAATTTTAAAGATATATGTATTTTAATGAATGATCAATAAAGGAATGGTAAGGCATTATTGCAATCATGAACCAAAAGGACAATAAAGCTGTAATAGATGAAAGGGAAGAATTTACCCAAGAATCTATTTACCCATTTTTCATTCAATGGACTAGATAGGATATATTAAGTATATACCTGAAATAAAGCAAAATATTGTAATAAAACACCAGCCCAACATATAATATATTAAATAGAAAGATGAAGGGATACTTCATCAGTAAAGTATGTGTGGCCATGATCATTGTGTCTTACCATTCATACTCATTTCTTAGAATTAATGCTGGAATGACAATCATGGAAACCTTAGTTTCTTGAATAAATAATCTACCATGTGATGAAACCATAACCAGAATCTACATGGTTCAAAAAATGTTCCCTCCACAATAGAAATTGTGAGATCAATTAAATAATAGAGTGGAACTGGAGCAGCCTTATAGTATTGTTTTGGAATACAAAAAACATGACAATAAACTGATCCCATGTGCCTTTCTTGATTTTATGATAATAATCAGGTGTTGTTTGATGCTTGTACAATTAATAGAATCCTGCTGCAAAGACCGGTATCATTTATATAAGACTCCATATATACCTATATATATAAATAAGTAATGTTACCATAACATGTCATTATGATATCTTAATGAAAGACAAGTCCATTCAAATGGTATGTCAGCCCAAAGAAATGTCATTAATTAATTTATGTACTAAAGAAATTTATTTAAATGTGATTAATATTAAACATATTTTTGGATTATGTAAAACAACAGATAAGAATGAGTGAATATGAGAATGTATTAAATTTTATATAATATTAATATATGAAATAATAATCAAATAGAAAATTGTTTGAGATAAGACAGAGTGTGAAGCAATCTCTATTCTTATCATTGAAGACAGAAAGATCTCAATACCCGACTGAAACTAAAAGATCCAAATCAATAACATAATGGAAATAATTTACAATCTTTAAATAAAATCAGCAATCAAAAATCAGCAAATTTCATGATGTTTATAAGGTGACTAAAAAAATTGGAATTGGTGCTCATGGTGTTGTTAAGATCTGTTATAAAATTTTAGATTAACTAAAAATAAACTATGCTGTTAAAAAATTATCATGTCAAAACGATCCTGAATTAATACGAACTATCATTTAAACCTTTAATATCAATAGAACTTTGAATGATAATCCCAAAATAATCAAATCATATGATTTGTACATTGATGAAAATGAATAAGTTGCATATTGGGTGATGGAATATTGCAATTATAAAAGTCTCTAATCATATATGTAGAAATCAATTCCTGATGTGGTGATCTAATAAATTATGAAATAATTGGCTCAAACTATAACTGAAATCCATAAGAAAGGAATATGTCATAGAGATTTAAAACCAGATAATATATTAGTAAGACTGCATGGTTAAATTGATATCAAAATTATTGATTTTGGTGTATCTAAAAAATTCATGGTCAAAAAGAAAAATGATAAAATATATCATGAAATGTGGACAAGAACTGGTTCATTACTCTATTAAGCACCAGAAACATTTTTAGGTGGAGGATATGATGAAAAAGGTATATCAACATTATTATATATTAGTTGATGTATGGAGTGTTGGTGTCATCTTGTATTAATTACTTTGTGGTAAATTTCCATTTTTTTGTGATTCTAAATTAGATACAATAGAATTGATTACTGACCCCAATCTCACTATTGATTAAAATAAGGAATTAAAACTATTATAACCACTTTAGATAGATTTATTAAAAAGACTCTTAAATAAGAATCCAGAAAAACGATTGAGTGCTGAAGAATTTTCATTGCATCCTTGGATCAATGAAATCAGCACATCAAAATCAACTTCAAGAGATGACTTATAAATTAACAAGAATAATGAAATAACTACTTCTGTCAATCTTGATGCAACATCAATAAAGATTGATTTCTCTAATCATATTCATTATGCTCATAAGTAATTCTAAGAATTGATAATATAAATTAAAGATCATGTTATAGAAGATTCTTAAAGTAGAAAAAGTAGCTATTAAATACCTTCAGCCCATACATCATATGATGTATCTCCTATTAATTAAATAGATGAAACTAAATAGTAAAAATCTAAAAAATGAATTCGTAACTAATTGAAAAATTTGTTAAAGTTGTATATTTATTTTTGTATAATAAAATTGTGTATTATTATGTATTACTAATAATAATAATTAATTGAAAAAATATTAATATTTTAATATCAATAATGAGCTTAATAAAAAGTAATTATATCATACTTCATCTAGTAACTCTTTTCCATCCTAAAATCTATTCATTTCGATCCCACCAATATTAATATTAATGTTCCAAACTATTATTTATAATATTGATTACCCAACTCTAACTTATGTGATCTCATATTAACCATTAATTTCATTCATTTTCAGTTTTCTTGCATAGTTTTTCTTTATCCATCCAGAATCTTCATAATTTTATTCAGCTACACAAACATATCCCAAACCCACTTCAACTATAACAGCTACATGTCCATAAGGTTATTTTGAAGTTTTTGGATAAATTATCAAATCTCCCTCTTTAGGAGGTCTATATATATTATTATAGTATTACTGATTTCCTTTATTTGGAAATGTCTAGAATTATAAGGTACCATTTAATGTTGTTAAATCATCTACATAATTTAACTTATAAATTTCATCAGCACAATTTATATCCTTAAATGCAGCTGCAAAATTAATGACTAAAAATCTTCTTGCATATTCTACACATTAATATCTTTATTTAAATTTAAATTTTTACTTTACTCCTAAAAATACATCCTTTGTCAAACCTGATTCTTCCTTTTTTAATATACTTTTATAACTATTCCATTTTTAATGATCATAATGAATTCCAACATTTGAATATGCTTTGACATTATGAGCTTCTCCTAAAACAGATCCCCATTATATTTTGTTGCTTTGTCTCATGATAATAAATTTAAATTATAATTTCTAAATTCTTAATTTTCATTATTAATTATAATAACTAATTAAATATGATTGAAATCATTTCATTTTAAAAAGATCTCTAAACTTGGATTCAAAGGAGAACTTTTTTCTATTTGTTTTGCTTTTACAATTAACTTTTTCATTAAGAAATTTTATTGAATATAAAAAAGATCCCTATCACTCATCTTCTAATGGATTCCTTTATACAAAGGCTATATATATAGATATTAAAAAATCTTACATTAAATTATTTCCTCTAAACTATTGTAATTGAATTTTCTAATTAACTGTTATGGAGAACAGAGGTACAAGTATCTATTTCACTGGTTTTTTCTGTTGTTAATATTAATTTAAATGTATTCTAACTCATTTCCTTAATACATGAATCTAAGGTGATTAATAATCTGCCAGATATTTTTGATTAATCGTACTATTTTATTTCTAATTATTATTATTTGGGATTAATTTAAGTAATCTTTTTTTCAGTGTTATTTTCTGGTATATTAACTATTTTTTAAGATTATTCAAAAAGATCCTAAATTGCTGGAACTGTAGGACAATGATTATGTACTTTTTATTATATTTTGAATTTGGAAGGTAAGTCAATGGTTAATTTGTCAAAAGACTTGAACTCAAATTAATTCTTGGGGGTTTATGTCAAAGTTTCACTAGTTAAACAAATTTATCGATCTGAGTTAGTTTTATTCTATCTATCATCTCTATGAGTCTTAAAGGGACTGGTATATTGTATACGACTTCCAAAACTTGCAAATTTAGTGTTGATTCCACAAGAGAATGCAGAAACACTTGCTCCAGATTGAGCTGAAATTTTTTAAGAGGGTTTAGGAGAATTAATTGAGAAAGGTTAGGAAACGACTCTATGATGAATTGTTGCTCCCTTTCCAAGGTTATTCATGAGCCTTTATATGTCATCTAGATTGGAATTGGATATGGATGCTAGATTATAAAGTTCGTTGAGTTAAGTCCTAAGTTTAGGTTCTGTTATGAAGGTCAACACAGTCTTAATGAGATTACATATAGCTGATCTTATATCCATAATATTAAATTATCAAATAAAGAAGATCTACTTTTACATTAATAATTGTGATTCATTTGTTATGTCCTAATGGCATACCTTCTCAATTTATTGTATCATTACAAAATGGTTCTGAAATGTCAACCAAATTGATCATCACTAATCAATTTACAATTAAATCTAATTTATTCAATCCAATGCTATTGACTAAGATCATACTCATCATATTACTTGGTATTTAAAATTTGTGAATATGTTACTATAAATTTATAAAAGACTCTCAATATAGTACAAGAATTTCCTAATATTCACGATTATATAATTAAGGATCAAGATTATTGTTGTAATACCTTAAATAGTATTTCATATTGTTCTTGTTTATTAATTTGAATTTCTAAATAGCTATATAATTATACTATCTCTAAAGATAATGCTTCATATTTTATTATTTAATTTTTCAATGAAGTTTCAAAGTAAAATAAGTAAATGCAAAAATAGCATTCTATTAAAGAACTTTTGATATTTTTATTAGATTATTGCTGACTTGTTAATGTGAATAAGTTGAATTGGAAATTATTTAATTAAATGATTTCACTATCGTTTATCTTGTATTTTAGTATTTGATTATCTTATGAATTATATTATTTAATATTGGAGTTATCTATTAGTGATTTTGATAGTAATTTATGAAATGTAATATATATTCTCGAAGTTCCATTAATTATTTTAATGAAAAGTGTGGAACAACTATTTCCTCAATTTGAGGTAGTTAATATAGTTAAATAAAACTAATATAAGAAGTCACTCATTGTGAAAAGAAGTGGTTATTATTACATGTTGAGAATATTTACATTAGAAGGTATTCCAAAAGAAAGAGTGTAAAGTGTAATTAAAATACTTTCTAAAATATCAAATCAAAAAAATCCACATATTGTTAAATTTTATGAAGCCACTTTGGATTAAGATATGACTTATTTAGGGTATTTGTATAAATTTGATTATTAGAATAGTGAGTGATTATTTAGATAAGTAATATGAATATCCCATGCAAGAACGAGATATTTGGAATGCAATATAAGAAGTATCACTTCTATGTTATTCATTTAGATATCTCAAGCATTATAATTATTTCATCCAAAAAGAGTTCATGGGAAGTTGCAATTATAGAATTTGTTTTAAAGTTAAACAAATACTATTTTAGGAGAGATGAACATTCTATTATATTTACACAAACAAAATTATACTGATACATATTTATTAGCTCCTGAATTCATCAGGACATAAACTTATGATTATAAATCAGATATATGGATGTTTGGATATATGTTATATTAAATGATGTTTAAAGATCCATTAATAATAGCTAATAATATTGATGTTTTACATAAAAAAATTCTAAAAGGAATTCATATTACATATAATCCAAATTACAGTCTTAATTTAAATAATTTGTTAAGATTGATGTTAGGTTATGATCCTGAACTTAGACCTAATATAGAATAAATATCTATTTATTGTTAATAAGCATAAATATCTTAAGAAGAAATCAATTTAAATAGAATTTTACCAAAATTTAAAGCAGATAAATTAGTATTACATAAAAGGAGAATTGAAAAATAACATAAACCTGTTGAAAATATTGTATATTTAAGTGAAGATAATTACAAATAACCTTATTTTCCACCTTCTAAAGTAAGGAAGCAAAATAAGAAATCTTAATCCAAACAACTTACCTCAGCTTCTGATTTTCATTATGCTTAAAAAACAATGTATTCTTTATCTCTGCCAAAAGTAATGAATTATCAATTCAGTAAATTAAAAATTAAAGATAGTATTGACCAGCTGGATATGTATTTATAAAATATTATTTAATAGACTTTAAACTAAAACTCATATTAACAAACTATAAATTGATAATCTTATTAAACTCTAAAAAAATATCATTAACACAACTTAAAGAAATTAAATTGTATTTAATCAATAAGATTAGATGATTAAATAAAAAAGTCAAAGGGTATTTTATTGATATTTATACTTTTTGTTAATTTTATAATTAAATTTATCTTTAACATTATGAATGAAAATTGAAATTATAAAATCTATAATCATCAATAAGAAAGTCTTAATAGTTTTAATATACAGCAAAATTCTTATTTGATTTAAATTGAAGAATTTTGAAAAGACATATTAAAAATCAATTTAGATATCAAAGGAAGATTAATTTTCTTATTTAAAGAAAGCGTTTCAAATTGCTAAAAAAGTTTGTGTAATTTTACAATAGAATCTTAAGTAACACTGTTTAAGATCTAGAATTAACTACCAAATATTAAGGATATTAAAGATATGGTTATTACAATCTTAGATGATTATAGATAATTTTCAGATGCAAAAATAATTTAGATGTTTGGTGTCAAAATAAAATTAAAAAATAATGATGATGTTTTACCTTTTGAATTGAAAAGATTCCAAGATTTCTTGGAGTAAAATTAAAGAAATTTAAAATAGAGATAATCTTTTTATTTAATTATTTTTGTTTATAATATTGGAGCTATTGAAATCATAAGAAAAAAGACTCAAATAGAATTGAATTACATATGTAGAGCTTTATCTATCAGATCTTTTCTTTTGACAAAGAATTTATTCATTTATTAATAGATTCAATTGTAATTGAATATTAGTTTTGCATTAAATTAATACAAATAATCTTAACAGGCTACTTAATTAATAACAGTTCCAATATAAATGTTAGAAACATTATATTAAGATAGCAAAACTCATTACTTTTTAATAAAGAATAGAATTATTTTATCATTAATTGAATATTCAATTAATAATTACTAAAAGGCTTTGATTCCATATCCAAAGGAGATTCCATCTTATTAAATTCATTATCATTTACTTTTTGAATATAAATTCTTTGCCTATGTTTTTGAACTTTTAGGAAAGTATACTAATGATTTCATACAATTTTAATTAGAACTACATCATAATAAGAATGTTTATAATACTATAATAGAATTTATGATGAATACAAAGGAATGAATCCTAAAGTATTTAAATAAATTGAAATAAAAATAAGAATTATTAGCATAATTATAATAGAAGACTTCAAGATAGAATATACAATAGAAAAAGGAAAATTAAAAAACAGTAAACAATATACGAAGAATAGAAATAAATAAATAGTTAAAGAGAGTAAGAAGAGAATTAAATTGTATTTTATTAATCTTGAGATGATGATTCATTCAATGTAGCTATGAATTTAAGAGAAGAATAAGAGTAATATTAATAAATAAATGTATTAGTTGTTTGGAGATAATAATTTATTCTTTGAGATAGGATTTACAAAAAAATTGTACATTTCACTATTAGATTTAGGAGGAGATTATAAAGATATATTGACTTATTAAAATATATTCAATCAAATTTAAGTTATAGATTTAGAGAGGGGATAATTTGATTTAATCAATTAGAAATGGTATGAAACAATAAATGGTTGTATGTATAGAATAGCTAATTGAATTGATATAATTAATTTTATGTTTAAAAACTTACCAAGACATATTGTTTTGGATATCTTATAATACTTGAGTATTTAAAACATTTTGAGAATGAGAAGAGTCAGTAGATAATTATGGATGATAATATAAGCTCATTATCAAATGAGTTTATTTTAATGTAGTTCTTAGATTGATTTATCAAAATACAAGGTTAAAGGAGTAATGTTATAAATTGTGGCTAAGGATTCAGGAGTAAGTAAACATAAACTAATGCAAAACTATTTGATGAAATTGCATACTGGAAGAATAGAATTNGAATCTTAAGTAACACTGTTTAAGATCTAGAATTAACTACCAAATATTAAGGATATTAAAGATATGGTTATTACAATCTTAGATGATTATAGATAATTTTCAGATGCAAAAATAATTTAGATGTTTGGTGTCAAAATAAAATTAAAAAATAATGATGATGTTTTACCTTTTGAATTGAAAAGATTCCAAGATTTCTTGGAGTAAAATTAAAGAAATTTAAAATAGAGATAATCTTTTTATTTAATTATTTTTGTTTATAATATTGGAGCTATTGAAATCATAAGAAAAAAGACTCAAATAGAATTGAATTACATATGTAGAGCTTTATCTATCAGATCTTTTCTTTTGACAAAGAATTTATTCATTTATTAATAGATTCAATTGTAATTGAATATTAGTTTTGCATTAAATTAATACAAATAATCTTAACAGGCTACTTAATTAATAACAGTTCCAATATAAATGTTAGAAACATTATATTAAGATAGCAAAACTCATTACTTTTTAATAAAGAATAGAATTATTTTATCATTAATTGAATATTCAATTAATAATTACTAAAAGGCTTTGATTCCATATCCAAAGGAGATTCCATCTTATTAAATTCATTATCATTTACTTTTTGAATATAAATTCTTTGCCTATGTTTTTGAACTTTTAGGAAAGTATACTAATGATTTCATACAATTTTAATTAGAACTACATCATAATAAGAATGTTTATAATACTATAATAGAATTTATGATGAATACAAAGGAATGAATCCTAAAGTATTTAAATAAATTGAAATAAAAATAAGAATTATTAGCATAATTATAATAGAAGACTTCAAGATAGAATATACAATAGAAAAAGGAAAATTAAAAAACAGTAAACAATATACGAAGAATAGAAATAAATAAATAGTTAAAGAGAGTAAGAAGAGAATTAAATTGTATTTTATTAATCTTGAGATGATGATTCATTCAATGTAGCTATGAATTTAAGAGAAGAATAAGAGTAATATTAATAAATAAATGTATTAGTTGTTTGGAGATAATAATTTATTCTTTGAGATAGGATTTACAAAAAAATTGTACATTTCACTATTAGATTTAGGAGGAGATTATAAAGATATATTGACTTATTAAAATATATTCAATCAAATTTAAGTTATAGATTTAGAGAGGGGATAATTTGATTTAATCAATTAGAAATGGTATGAAACAATAAATGGTTGTATGTATAGAATAGCTAATTGAATTGATATAATTAATTTTATGTTTAAAAACTTACCAAGACATATTGTTTTGGATATCTTATAATACTTGAGTATTTAAAACATTTTGAGAATGAGAAGAGTCAGTAGATAATTATGGATGATAATATAAGCTCATTATCAAATGAGTTTATTTTAATGTAGTTCTTAGATTGATTTATCAAAATACAAGGTTAAAGGAGTAATGTTATAAATTGTGGCTAAGGATTCAGGAGTAAGTAAACATAAACTAATGCAAAACTATTTGATGAAATTGCATACTGGAAGAATAGAATTATCTTATTATGATAGTGCTTATTAAAAGATAGGATCAAATGAAATAGTGTATGTTGTTTAGAAAGGAAAGGAGAAGGAAATCATAAGGAATATAGAAATTATAGGAGTATCTCCATCATCAATTAGTTTGTATCCAAATACTTCATCATGTAAAATACTATAAATTTTATGTATGATACTTTATATGTGATCAAATTATGTTATTTCTTTTATAATCCGAAGTCATGAATGGATTGTCATTAAATATATGTATAATTAAGCAAAATATCAATTGAATCTATTCTGATTTTATTAATTAAAGAAAATGTCAATCAATTCATCACACATTTCTGTACAAGTTGGTCCATATTATGAAGGAGAGGGATCTTGGAGTTTGAGGTATGAGACTATTATATACTTTAGTTTGAAAGCTCTTATCAATAAGTAAGCTGCAACATAACAATTGGNGATTCCATCTTATTAAATTCATTATCATTTACTTTTTGAATATAAATTCTTTGCCTATGTTTTTGAACTTTTAGGAAAGTATACTAATGATTTCATACAATTTTAATTAGAACTACATCATAATAAGAATGTTTATAATACTATAATAGAATTTATGATGAATACAAAGGAATGAATCCTAAAGTATTTAAATAAATTGAAATAAAAATAAGAATTATTAGCATAATTATAATAGAAGACTTCAAGATAGAATATACAATAGAAAAAGGAAAATTAAAAAACAGTAAACAATATACGAAGAATAGAAATAAATAAATAGTTAAAGAGAGTAAGAAGAGAATTAAATTGTATTTTATTAATCTTGAGATGATGATTCATTCAATGTAGCTATGAATTTAAGAGAAGAATAAGAGTAATATTAATAAATAAATGTATTAGTTGTTTGGAGATAATAATTTATTCTTTGAGATAGGATTTACAAAAAAATTGTACATTTCACTATTAGATTTAGGAGGAGATTATAAAGATATATTGACTTATTAAAATATATTCAATCAAATTTAAGTTATAGATTTAGAGAGGGGATAATTTGATTTAATCAATTAGAAATGGTATGAAACAATAAATGGTTGTATGTATAGAATAGCTAATTGAATTGATATAATTAATTTTATGTTTAAAAACTTACCAAGACATATTGTTTTGGATATCTTATAATACTTGAGTATTTAAAACATTTTGAGAATGAGAAGAGTCAGTAGATAATTATGGATGATAATATAAGCTCATTATCAAATGAGTTTATTTTAATGTAGTTCTTAGATTGATTTATCAAAATACAAGGTTAAAGGAGTAATGTTATAAATTGTGGCTAAGGATTCAGGAGTAAGTAAACATAAACTAATGCAAAACTATTTGATGAAATTGCATACTGGAAGAATAGAATTATCTTATTATGATAGTGCTTATTAAAAGATAGGATCAAATGAAATAGTGTATGTTGTTTAGAAAGGAAAGGAGAAGGAAATCATAAGGAATATAGAAATTATAGGAGTATCTCCATCATCAATTAGTTTGTATCCAAATACTTCATCATGTAAAATACTATAAATTTTATGTATGATACTTTATATGTGATCAAATTATGTTATTTCTTTTATAATCCGAAGTCATGAATGGATTGTCATTAAATATATGTATAATTAAGCAAAATATCAATTGAATCTATTCTGATTTTATTAATTAAAGAAAATGTCAATCAATTCATCACACATTTCTGTACAAGTTGGTCCATATTATGAAGGAGAGGGATCTTGGAGTTTGAGGTATGAGACTATTATATACTTTAGTTTGAAAGCTCTTATCAATAAGTAAGCTGCAACATAACAATTGGAATAGCTAGCTAAATAAACAGGTGGTAATTTGGATACAGAATGGGGAGTTGTATTTGCTTTGAAGACAATAGATGGAAAGGCTTAAGAATTATAGAAATTCCTTAATGAGAAATTTAATCCTATGCTTGAAGAAGAAAACATTGTATTGAAGACTCACAGTGAAGGAACAACTTTATGGTTGTCATTTTAATTAAAACCTGAGGAAATGGAAGAAATTAAAGAAGGATTCAATATGGTCTTTGCTTAAGGTAAAGATATGATTTATTTAAAATAACATTAGGTTTAGAAGAATTTGCTGAAAAGAATGAAAATTCAATATAAATGTTATTGTCATCTAATACAGATTTTACATTTGCAAGTGAACTTCTAAAGAAAGGTGATAGATTAATGTCAGTCGTTATGAAGAGTCTTAAATTCGTTCTGAAATTGGATCTTGCTTAAGATTTGGCATAAACAATAAAAAATGTACTTGAAAATCTTGAGCCTGATGCTGCCAATGAACCTCCAATGAGTTTGTTTTTAAAGTTTAAGAATTTTAAAGTGGATTTAGAATTCAAGAGTTCTGATGATTGTCCTGAATTCATTAGATAAAATGGATTCTTTGGAAAAAAGATTTAAAAATGGATTTAAGATGGAGAGGCTGCTGTATAAGATGAATAAGGAATAGCAATATTAAAACAAATTCAAGAAGTAAATAATTATAATAATTGTAGAACTTGCCAAATATGGAAGCAGACTTCTATTTTACAATTCCAAATTTCTTGGCTGTTAGTGGAAATGCTAAATTACCAGGTGTAGCTTAATTCTTATTGGAATATGGTAACATCTTAGATAAAATATGATATCATAAAGATATGTCATTATTAAAATTTAAATATTATTCATATTTCTAATCAATAATTTTAATGTTTACTTTATTATTAATTCCATTTGTTGATGCTGTATTCTCTAACTTTGAGTATGTCTAAGTGACATCTTAAATGGAATATTCTGCATATACTTTTAGAGGTATATTAACAGTAATTCCATAAACAAATAATATCTTATTATGGAAATGTCATGATCTAGAAGAAGCAATTCCAAATATTTCATTTAATCTTCTTGAAAATGGAACAATATTGAAGTTAGATGATTTTAATTTATAGTATGAATATGAAGTTACACCAAATCCTTAATTTACATTTACTTATTAGGATTAAAAGTAAGGAAAATTAGTAATAGATTATTTAACATTCAAAAATCCAGAATATGCTTCTTAATTAAAGCAAATTATTGAACGAGTAATTATAGATGAATACACAGTTGATTGGGATATTGTTCATTATAATTTGCATGGTCTATAAGATAATTTAGAATAGTTTTGTAAAAAGCATTAAGATTTTAAAACAGAGTTGTGAATTATATAAAAATAATTAAATAAATATTATAATCTTCTTTAAAAACTAAAAAAACTATAAGATAAAATAATAGATTAATTATTAATATTAATTCATATAATCAAAAAAGTTATTAATAAAACAAAATGTAACCTTGTTATTATTATACATCCATTTTATTTGCTTATTTAATTCGTTAATCATTAAATAACCACCATTTGTGTTATCTTCTACCATATGAATAATAATGTCCTTATTCTAAAGAACCAGAATGAACAATTATTCCAATTAATTTATATTCTGTATTACAGAAATTAGATTCAATTGAAAATTTTATTTGTTATGTTATTTTAGTTTATTTAGGAAAAAACTTAAATCTTTTTAAATGTAATATAAGATATCTAGGTAAATTAGTAATTCTTGTTTTTTTTATTGCTATTTTTTTCTTATGACAATTATCACATTAATAATCTTAAATTAATTCATCTTTCAAAAACTCTTCTAAAGATTGATTTACTGTAGCCACTTTTGTTAAAGCTAAAGATAAAGTTAGAAATTCCTCTGTTATTACAGACTTATGTTTACAATTCTTACAAATTAATTCACTTACTATTTAACCTTTTAAATACTTCTTTACAACATTCTCTAATTTAGGTAATTATAGTTTTTCATATTCCTTATTTATTTCTATAATTTCATCTTCCATCATAGATATTAAGTATAAGAGAAACTCTTATGCATCATGTTAATACTTTGGATTGAACTTCTTGCTTATTGTAGTTCTCAAATTGTTTATTTTTATATAGTCACTTTAAGCATCTCGTATTTACAATAACATTTCTTTATAACCTCGACAATATAGCATTTTCTACCCATTATGTCTATTAATACTGTTTAATAAAAAATGATTCAATTCTTGAATGCACATTAAACATTAAAGAATTGAGTGCATATAGCAATAAAACAATTCATTCTTCAATCCTTTGATTGGAATTTCTGATGGCAACTCTTATTATGATACACTTGACATCATGCTTATATCAGCTGATTTTGCTCTGTCTGCTGTTGATGAAATAACTGATACTGGAGATGGTGGCACTTTGTCTTCCAATATTTCAGGACCTCCACCATATTCTTCAAGCAAGAATTTCCAAACTGTATCAGTCAATACAAAATAATCTCCATTACGAATTGGCTCTTTGATTTATAATAAAGGTGTATTATCAATTGGACCTGGTAGAGTATTTGAATTTTCATAAAGATAATTTGTATATTTTAGAGCCCAAGTTCCATTTAATCTGTAGCAATCAGGTTCATAATTTTTTTTTATGTTAACTAATCGTTTTATCAATTGACATTCTAATTCTCGTCTTGCATTTCCTTATGCAAATCTAAATTATAATAAAAGCCCTAGAATTTATGGACCTTCCATAGAAAACGATGGGGCTTTTTTAGGAGGAAATTATGGTACATGCTAATTGATGGAGCTGCTTTTGTTATACTATTTATTACATTACTTATCTTCCTCATTTAGATTTTCACTATTATTGTCAGTGTCTCTAAATTGTTACATTTAATATATAAATTTAATAACAAAAATAAAACATCAAAGCAAATTCAAAACTATTATTATTATATTATAATTGATTACATATATATCAATATTATAAGAAATCAAGCTTACAAGAATATTTATATTAATTTTATAGTATAACTGATTATATAATCAAATAACAAATTATGAATTATTTTTACCCCATTCAATATTAATAAGTAATCTCATTTATCAATTATTATGAATTGAATAATGAATATTAATAGTTCATACATGATTTTGTGATTTCAATAAAAATAAAGTAATATATATATTAATTCTTTTTATTACTTTATAATATATCATTAACATTTTATTATTTGAGATGTGATACAATATTTCAACATAAATATTGTAACTATCATTCACAATTATTCATATATTTGTAAATTAATAATAAAGTTATTAGACGTTAAAGTTCATATTTATATAATATAATATATATTGAATTCTTGCATCCTTTACTTTCGACTTCCTCATTAGTGAAATATTATTATTCTAAGGACAAATAAGTATCTAATTATTGGACTCAGAATATTCTTATCATTTTTTTTGATTATCATATCCAATTCTCTAACAAATAAGATTATTAATATATAAAATTAAACATTTTTCATTCAAATTAGAAAATAAGATTTTAATCACTTTTCTTAATAACTCTCTACACCATTTTAATAAGACCTATTATAAAAAAAAGTTTATTAGAAAGCTATATTGAGTTAAGCTCTTAAATCAGTCACTATACTAAAATTTTGGCTGATTAATTTACTCAAAAATAAAAATTGAAAAAATAAAAAAAAATAACAAATGAATTTTTTGAAATGAAATCTTAAGATTAAGACTATGATCTTTTTCTATTCTAACCACAATTAAAGTTATAATCTTATTAATATAAAAATAGTTGATTAACATACATGGATCTCGTTATTGAGGAATAACAAAAAATAAACATATATTGAGATATTTTAGTACTAATTGAAGTGAAATGTTGTTTTGATATAATTATGAATGAGAAATCTTTTTCTTATAAGTTTCTTTTTTTTGAATGCAAAAATTTAAATATACAAAATGAAGTATGTGTTGCATCTTATTTAGTGAAATTTTTTGAAATATTGTGACCAAATTTTATAGCTTTTTATATATGCAAAGATTGAGTTTATTTCAACTATATATCATTTAATAACAATAATTGAATTAGTATAGAGAATTTTTAAATAATATGCAGTTAATTATTTAAATAATTTAATAAAAAAACACAGAAAAAAGATGAGAAAGCTTAAATCACAACAAATATGAATTTAAAAATAGTTTGTCATCTAAATTAAAACAATATGTCATAATCTCTTCTTGAAATTTATGATTGATTTTACAGTTTAGATATTTGAGGTCTTATTAAAAATGGCGAATTCTTCAATATCTTAATGGTATTGCTTTGTTATAGTCTATTTAGACATATATTCTTTGTGAGATATTGAAAATAGCTTATGCTTAAGTAATTCTTAAGGTTATGGTCTTTTATGAGGATCCTATTCTAGTAATTTTCGGATGAAATCATGTAAAATACAATCAAAAGCTTTAAGTCTAGATAAATCAAGATTATTCTTAGTATGATTGAGTGCCATTTCTTTTTAGGATTTACCAAAAGGATTGTGTCCAAGTAATCTAATGTAATACTGAATAGTGTACAATTGAAATAATGATATTCCAACTTGATAAATATTAGCTTTGGTTGTTAGTTTTTAATTAATCTAAAAGTATTCAGGAGGAGAATAACCAATATTTACACATCTAAATTAATAAATTAATATATTTACATTCTTCTTTCATCATTGTTCTACTAATAATAAGCTTAATAATAGGAAGCCAGAACAATATCTTATGAATTTGGATTAATATAAAGATTTTTTAAATCAAGTCCTGGATGTATAATTCCCTTCTCATCTAAAGCTATCAATACTATCGATTTAATAGTGTAATAATTTACATAATACTAATTAGTGAGCTGTGTGAGACATAAAACAATGGTTATCTAATTGAGTGTTATTATAATATAAAGATAATTTTATTAAATCTTTATTTGAATAGATGTAAGAATATTAAACTCCATCGTGGTAAAGAGCATCTACTTATATGAATTAAGGTATATATGTAATATGTAAGTCCTATATAATCTAAATTTCTTAAGGAATAAATCTCTCTCTATCATATGTAACCTAAGAAGAGAATGAAATATCTAAGTTGTCATTCATCTCAGCAAATATGACATGTTCATAGTACTACTTTTGTCTGGACTAATCAAATATTGATTTCAACTAGTAAATATATATATATTCTTGACTTACTTGATAATCATGTTTCTCCTTTATTATTTCAAGTGTTTTACTAGCTGTTCCTTTTTTAAAAATATACTTTCCAGCACAGAATCTATATATACATAATAAATCTTCAGCTGTCCCATATATAAACAATTTAGATTCCTCATATTCAATAATGAAACATAGATTGCTAAGATTTCCAGCATTTAATTCCTCAAAAAACTCATTCCAATCCATTAAAATGGAATTGTTCCAAAATAGAAAAACTTAAATCATTTTGCTAACAGGATCCTATATTTAATTAAACAATTTTACCACTATCTTCAATCCTATAGAACTTTCTTGAATACTTATAAACTTTGAATTAAATTTTGATTTCTTGGATTAGTTCATCTATAAACAAGATTATTGCATTGACTTTATTTATATTTTTAATTATAAGATACATAAGCTTTATAATTCCTCGGTTATCTATTTTTTAATATCTACTTTTTTTCTATAAAAGACCTCTATCATTTCATTTAACAGAAAAAATGGAAAAACTTCAATATAGTCATATATATGTATAAGTTAAAAAGTGTATTTCATGAATATTTTAGAATCTAATAATTAAATTTGTAATTAATTATTATTTTTGATTCTATAATTATTTTTAAATTTTATGACATTATTTATATATTTACCTTTAAATCTTCAAATATATCATTTAAGAGTAGATATAAATATTAGTAATTAATAATAATCAAATTTTGAAGTATTCTAAGCAGTAATGTTATCTGAAAAATAAGATAAATTTTTAATTATTTTTTCTCTCCTATCACATATATGATCACTCTAATATCAGAACATTTTGTAGATTATTAAGTTCCTCCTATCTAATATGATAGACTTCTGTTAATATATAAATATTGAGCTATTTCGTTGTTTTTATTAATGATAAATTTATCACAAAAAAAGAATAATCCTCATTTGAATCCCCACTAGCATTTATTGTGTAATTAATTCAACTTCACCTTCTTTCTGATCAATTCTCTCATTCAAATGTGTTATTTTTAATCACTTCCCTTAATCTAAAGCTATCAAATTCATTAATCAAGTTTAGTATTTAAAATTATTCAATATTTCAACGAGACTAGAGACAAGCCAATCAAAAAATTAATTGTATTAACTATGCTTCATGTTAAATGGATAATGTATTTCATAATCTAACATTCCAGAAATTAGAAATTATGTACTGTTTATAATTCAAGACCATATAAATTGTTAGATTCCACTAATTTATTAGACTCAATGCTTGTTTATAACCTTTATAAACAATTCTAAGTTCTTTTTATCTATTGAAATTGCTTAATATCAATCATATCAATTTATAGTAAACTAAATTTCAATCATTTTTGTGACTAACTCTGAATATTTGCTAAAATAACATTAAGAAGACAAGAACAATCATTATTAAAGCTAAGTTCTTTGTTTAGTAATTGCAATTAGAATTTTAAAACTCTATCATCATAATAATTAAAAGGATAATTTACTTTATATTGCTAATTAATATTAAAAATCAAGTAGTAGCAAAAGCTCATTAATAATTTATAAACCTTTTTCTTCTTTAAAATCAGGTTTTTATGCTCTAAAAATGTAAAAAAGTCAAGAAAAATTAAATGAAATTAAATACATTTAAATATTTGAATCCTAACCATAAAAAAATATCCGAGAAGCATATTTTTTTGACTTTATCTTTGATTACTGATAATTTAAATCTTAATATAAAGATTTAAATAAAAACAAGTAGAAAAAAAATATCAATTATTATATTTATAATGAAATCAATATCGTTTTATTTAATCATAACTTAATTCTTTTTAACATTTATATTATTTCAATATTTATCTCACATTATAGACCTTAAATCTTCATCTTCATCACTTGATTCAAACTAATAAATAGAAATTAAATTTATCATTTCTTCATTTATTCCTTACAAAAAAGCTATCAATTCATTTTAATATAAACTACATTTTATTTGATTTATTCTTTAAAATTTATATACTTGTTGAGCCCCAAAATTGATAAGCATTTTTAAGGTTACATCAAATTATAATACAGTAAATGTTAATATTGGATTGTATTCTTTGATTTATTGGCCAAAACTAATTTGATAAAAATTTAAACTTATAACCTTGATAGAAATAAATCTTAAATATCCTTTAATCATTTAGTTCAAAATGTAAATCACTCATTATAGTGATCTGTAATCCAAAAAAAATAGTGTATGAATTTGAATATATCTAATTCCTTTGTAAAAATCATTATTTGAGATAATGCTTTGATTTTATATATATAATAAATAAAATTAATAAAAAAGTCACAGAATTTATTTGCCTAAAATTATTTCTCCTTCAATCTAATCTTGTTCCTGTATTGGATTATCACAAAGAGAATTAATTATTTAGAAGATTTAATAGAAAAATTATAAATAAATTTATTTTCATAACTAAGAAACTTTATTTCTCTTAATATTTTTTTGACAATATCTTTATAAATAAGATTTTTAGGCAATTCATTGATTTTAGTTTTTCTTTGCTTATGTATATTATTATTTTCTAATTCTTATTTTCTTGCCATTTTTATGCTTATTCAACACTATTCAAATATTTAGAATCAATATCTATATCATTATATCATAGTTAATGATTAAATCATCAATTTTCTCTATACATTTATTCAGTCACATAATTTAATAAATTTTTTATACCATTCATATCTATAATATAATACAAGTATTCTTGTCTTATCATAATTAAAAAGTCACTTTTAAGTTTTTCATTAGATTTTTAATTTTATTATTTCATCATAAACAAGACTTTATCATTTAAACTTCTTAGACTAAATGACATTATTTCACTTAACAGTTTCTATACTCCTCATCGATTGTGTATTGAAATTCTTTCCATTTTTTTAATGAAAGATCAAACATTAAATTATTGTATTAGTAAAAAACAGTATTATATTTTCAATAAAATTATTGCTATTTTCTTCTAGAATATTGATTGAAATGGAATATAAGAATGATTCTTTTTAATTTTAAGAAAACCTTGATAATAAATAAATTAAATGAATTGATAAATAATAGTCAAACATCATCATCACCATATTTTTTAATTAATTCTTTCAAAAAGGGATTATTTTACTATAAATATAATATAATAAATTACATCTGTTTTTGATTCTTTCTCAAATTTAGAATTGTTAGTTTCTGAGTTTCCTAAATCAACAAATTATTCTTTTTTTTTAATAGGAGATGGACTATTTTGTCTAATTGGTTTGGTTGAAGTTGGCAAAGCTGCAGCTAAAGAAGTTTTATAAGAAGCAGGTATTTTAGCAACATCTTGTTTAGTATGTGCAACTGCTTTATCTTATTATTTTCTTCTAATTTCTCTTTCTAATCTTTCTTATCTTTCTTTATTTGTTTCATATTAACCTAATTCTGGACTATTAGATTTTTATCTTTATCTTTCTTTTTCTTTATCTTTTTTATATTTTTCTCTTTCCTTTTCTTTCTTTTTATCCTTCTTTTTTTTATGTTCTTTTTATGATTTATGTTTATTTTTCTTTTTCTTGTGATTCTTATGTCTACTTTTACTTCTACTACTACTTGATTCACTACTAGTAGAACTTGATCTTTTTTTCTTTTTAGATTTAGATTTAGATGGTGATTTTTATGATATAACTTCTTATGGTAATTAAATTTAACCTTCTTACATTCCTTCAGTAATCATTTATGCTATATATAATCTTTATTCATCATTCTTAGGTATAAATTCAATTTCACCTAAACTTATTCTTTCTTTTTCTTCTTCAAATTAAATAATTAGAAATGTTCCATCAATATTTTCTATTTTACCAACATGCCATTCATCATCTTTTTATGAAATTGCTCTAACTTAAACACCTGGTTATAAAAGTGGCATAATTCTTTAATTAATATTTCTTCTTTATCTCTTTTCTTAAGCCAGTAATATTTTAGCTTATATGATAGTATCAATCTATTATGGAATACGAGGTAATCTAGTATTATAATAATTTAAGTCAGTGAGTAATCTTTCACAATAATCTCCAATAGTAATAGTTTCATCTTTAGAAGGTTTAAATTCTAATATTAAATAAAATTTAAATACCTTATTCATCTAAAATATATTTCTTCATCCATCCCCATAAAAAATTTGGATCTAATGAATATCTTAAATATAATAATCCTAAACATCTAACATATGGATTTAATTTCCAATCACATAAAATTTGTAATTATTTTACTAATATATTTATTTAATTAAGTATACCATTCAAATTCATACTCATCAATTTATGTAATATACAAAAAAAAGATGATGGTACTCCTGGACCTGCCCAAGTACCAACAGAAGTAACAATCTTATCTGTCTCTGTGACAATATCATTAATATCTCTAATCTATAGTAATTCTTTATAATATTGACATGTTAGTATATTTTATCTAACTAATGAATTCATATTGCTAATAGCATTTTCTCCTCGACTTTCATTAAATTTTCACAAATACATTGGTATTATATTATCTCCTCTATCTCCAACATCATAATGATATTTGTCCATATTAATTGATTTTTCTTAATATGTTGGTACTTCTTCTACAACAATTTTCTTACATTATCTAATGATTCAAATTTTGGTACTACCTACAAGTTTTGGAGTAATTATATTAATGTATTGGACACCTGATAGTTGGATTTGATTTCTCTAAGAGATTAGTTTGAAATTTGATTTCAGATTCTATTTTCTTATAACTTTCATAAGCAGTCAACTTTTGATTTTTATCATTTTTACTCATATTAATTTTAATCAATCATTCAAATAAGCATCACTCAATTTCGGATTGATATAAACAGGCTATCCTTATTTCTTCTTCCAAATATTACACAGATTTCTCATTAACATACATACTGTCATTGGTCCAACTCCTCCAGGAACAGGAGTAATAA